AACCAAAAAAAAAAATTTGCTGTAGTTTAGTTCGTTGAACATAGGCGCAGGCTGTTTATCGTCCAAGAAAAGATACCCTTTTTAAGACTAGACTGGGAGCAGTCTCTTATTTTTCTTTGCAAAGTTACTGCAAGCGAAACCTAAGCACACGAGCGGTGAGGCCGCTTGTGGCGAGAAACGAGGGTGTAAGCCCGAGAAGAAAAAAAAACAGACATTATATTTTTTTCTTAGGGAGGGGGGACGTCTGTATACAGCCTATTTTTTCTTGTCTCGTCTGGACGGATTTTAAGAGAAAAGGCGGACTGCAAGCAGTCTAAATTAAGGCAAAAATTGATAAAATCGATACCCTGATTAAGACAAAAAACGATAAAATCGATACCCTGTTTAAGAAAAAAAATCTCGAAAAACATACCCTGGCTGGCCGCACGTCCCCATTAAGCCCTTATAAGGGAGTACCCCCTCCCCACTCGGGCACACAGACCCAGACAGGACCAATTCAGCCACAGACGAGTGGCATCCGTACACGGACGCGTAGGACAAGCACAAGTGTAAAACTAGAACTACACACACACACGCACACACACACACACACACACAAAAGGTTGATATGTCGCACAGACGAAGAACTAATTCGCCGTTAAAAAATTATGACATATGCAGCCAGTACACAGACGTAAAGCGAAACCGAAACTGAACGAAAACCAGACTCGAGAGCGAAACTGTAACACTGGCGCGGAGAACAAAACTACCCTACGGACTCGAAATAAAAAAAATTACAAACACGAGCCAGAAACGAGCTGGGAGACTAAAGAACACAAACTGTAGAAAACTAACCTAGGGCCATAAGCGGAGCCGCGTTAGCAGCAACAGCATGAGTTTCTGCAACATTGTTTTCTTTAGCCTGTACAGACACGACAACAGCACTAGTCAGCTTCGGCCGGGTTTTGCTGAACCTGAGCCACAGTGGAGGAAATCGAAACGAGGCGCAGCGATGGCGGAGATAAGGCGACAAACGTGGTGTATGCTGTCCGTTTTAACGAAAAGAGTAATAAACAGCATGAAAATAGGTCAATTTATACTAAACTCACAAATACATGCGCAACGAGTTCCCCCGCGGATCCACAGATGTGCTGGAATTTAAGTGCACGGGTCCCAAGGGCACAGGGAGCGCTACCGCTGTAGAAGGGATAAATGTAAACATAGGCACGTTAAACGTGCATGAGCTGTTTTGAATGCTTCAGTGACACTTTAATGCTTCGGTGTAACCTTACCAAGAGTGATGAATCTACCTTTTTCGTCCTAAATGTAGATTGGGTTTTTGTGCGAAATTGGGTATTGCGGTACATAAATGAAAACGCGAAACGCTCAGCTGAGTCGATCCTCAAGCTATATATTCACTTTCCTCTGTTACATCTGGTGCAAGTTAAACAAATTGTCAAAGTAAAATAAATATCTACTCACCAAACGTTGATTAGAAGGACAACTATAAGGTTTCCTGGGAGTTTCTTAAGCCAAAATGTGACTCATCGAATACTGAATAGTTACGATCGTTTGATCCTCCATTGTAGGAAAAGTAACAAGGGCGGTTTTTGTTCGTATTTCTTTTTTTTTAGAGCAACGGAAGAAATCATTATTGCTTAGACTGCAAAACAGTCCGTATTTTTGCGTATTCAAGTACGGGCGAGCAGTCAAGCAATTAGGTCTGAAACGATGCTGAAAACAGTGAGCGAGACCGGTGAGGGTAAAAGGCGGAATGAGTTTGCGGAATGGCATGTGGCATGGCTTGCGGAATGACATAATTATGCGGAATGTAAAATATGGAAATTGGCGCAAAGAAATAAATTAAACTGAAAGGCATGCGCGGGTCATTGACGCCCCTTTTTTGGCGCCAATTTGAGTGAACAACTGCTTTACTGGTTCACGCATTTAGATATTTATCTAAAACATACCCGAGAATTAGCTAGGGTTCCTGAAGGCAGCCTCCACACGAAAACATTGAAGTCCGGTAAATATACTGAGGCGTGACCAAAATAACTTGGTTTCCTCGATTAGCAAGACGAAATATCTTCTTTTCCCGTTATCCTTAGCGAATTTAATACCATTGTTAGAGTCCTTATTTTTGAGTCGATAGAAAGTGAATCCCAGAATACTTGTGCATTTGATTTTTTGCTTCTTCAAAATACTGTCGGCACCGAAAGTGTTACTCCTTCGATCAAGAATTACGTTGCGTTACTACCTTGATTTCGTGACTGTGATTTTGACAGCTCCGTCTCTTCAAACGTACGTTGTGCCACGTGCAGTCACGGAACAGACTGTCACGCAGAGTCGCCGGCAGGTAAAGTTCAGTGTTTCAAAATGGCTAAAATTGACCCAGTTTCACCTTTTTACCCCATTCTTTGATTGAAAAAAGCAATTTTGCAAAGGGAAAACCTACAAGACGTACGAAAAACGAGCCATTGGGCTGTAAATATCTGTTTATGTGCGTTTCGAAATTGGAAGTTCTACAGAGAAATTCTCGATTTTTGCGCTTGTTTACACAATACAGACAATTTATACCTCCAGCCTACCATGAAAATTCCTGAACTTCGATGGTGTCTTACAGAGATTTCCTTCACTTACCCAAGCCAATTCCCAGGTATGTTTTAAATGAATGTCTAAATGTGTGATTTAAATCGCAAGAAGAGAATTTGGAGTTATACCACATGTTAAATATTGGCGGCGAAAATGAGTAACGAACTGAAATTTTTGTTATCCTGAAAACCTATCCCTCATTTTTAAAATTATTTCAGTACGACCAGCTTCCCTATTGTCCAGAAAGTATCTTCTAGTGGAAGGAAAAGAATTTTTCTGTTCGTGGAAAGCGTCCAAATTTCTCCATCCAGCTTCGTTTGCGAACGCGAGGAAAGTTGATGTTAGCGAATTTCAGGTTAAAATTAATGCAGTCTCCGGCGACATCGAAAACCGATCTTCTATTTTTTCTCCCGAATAAAAGGCTTTCGGCGGGAACAATCTACGTTAGGTTTCTCTTTTACCTAAAAGCTATCTATGAACAAAAATGAAAGAAATTGATTTTTCAACTCTTGTCACGAAATTAAGATTTTGGTCGATTTTTCTGTTTCGCACGTCTCAAGCTCGCAGTTGAGGAAACAAAATACAAGATTCATTCATCTCTGAATAATATTATCAATTATGTCACGATCACGTAACCCACAGTCTCATAAAGAAACACTTCTCACACGGTTTCGAATACAAATATAGGTAACAAGAAACTGTTGAGTTAATCGTACAAGCATCTTTTGTAGAAAAAATTAAAGTAGAAGGGAGCGTGACCTTCGAAAACATCTTTTCTTCAATAGACGAAGAATCTTTTTGGCTGTGCGGAAAAGGCTGGTCGACAATGAGCCTTCGTGGTTTTTTTTTATTGTCATCAAAGGTTGAGCCCGCAACATTAAAACAGCGGCTGCGTTTGCAAATTGATTGGCGCCAAAAAAGGGTGCTCTTTTCAGTTTAATTTATTTCTTTTGATCATTCAGCAGCGTATATTAAATTCCGCATAATTATGTCATTCCGCAAGCCATGCCACATGCCATTCCGCAAACTCATTCCGCCTTTTACCCTCACCGGAGCGAGACTGGATAGGGACGCTAAAAATACGGTCGGTTTTTTTTCTCCCCCCTTACACGCCTTACGGGCGTGTGAGGCTCGCGCGCTTCGCAAATTTTGTAGAGTAAAAAAAAATTACATTAATAATAGAAGACAAATATATAAAAATACAAGTTAAAAATTCTTATTTAAAAATTGAAATTAAAATTTAAAGATGAAAAAAAAATTAAAATTCTTATCGCAATATTTACAGTCCATACATTACAGTCTATACATTATTCAGTTTTAAGGCGCATATTAAGACTTATCTTTTTAAAACTTTATATTGATGAGCAATTTTATATTCAGTTCTTACTTTCATGCATATATATTCTTGTTATTTTTTAATGCATTATCTTTTATTTGTTTCTGTTAAAGTAATGTAGTTGTAATGCGCAGCTGATCATTCTCATGTTAAGCTGCGCACAATAAGTTCATAAATTACTCTTATTATTATTATTATTATTATTCTGACAGAACTTCAATTAAAATTGGGACTTGCATGGAAGTTTCTTGCTAGTTCATGGGAAACGAAAATACAAGGACAAGAAATGAAATGTTTATTCCTGTACTATGCTTCGACTGTCTTGGACTGAACAGACCCATTCTAGGCAGTTTAAATAATTACAGCTTCTTTACTAAATCATCCTCGGAGACCCAGGGGCAGATAGTGGGGACGAGGGAAAGTCTAAACGGGCAGAAAAATATGGCACGAAGAAAAGTAAAGAACGGCGCCATATGAAATCCGACGAAGGACTTTTTTGAAAGTCTAATCTTCTCGCCGTTCTTTACTTTTCTTCATGCCACATTTTTCCGCCCGTTTAGACTTTCCCTCGTCCCCACTATTTGCCCCTGGGTCTCCGAGGATGTTACTAAATGAATCGTTCTAGACAAGAGAGAATGATCATTCTCTCTTGTTCTAGAGCGTGGGCAACCTGAGGCCGCCTCAAGCTGCCAGATACCCGGCCACTTCAATGTGGGAACGGGTCGAAAAACGAGACTAATGGCCAGATTTGTTTTGTTTTGTTTTTTTGTTATAGTCGTTTATTTACACAACACTTGTTACGGTTACAAATTTTAAAACTAAAAGGAAATATATAACAATATTACAGATGGCCAATTAATATTCTGAATTTTAGTTCTGACTGCAAATTACAGATCATATTGATCCGTGCAAAGTGACTCAAGTTATTCAAAACCGGTGATTAAGCAAGAACGTTTGAATAAAGCAAAATAAAGATGACCGTTCCGTTCTCCAATTAGAAACATTTCCCTCAATGTAACTACGACGAAAAACAAACTTTCCTTAGCAGGAATGGAACTGGAATGTTACAAGAAATGAAAAATATGTCTCTCTTTCAGAAAACAAAAAAACTATCTTCCAAGCGTTCGATCATTCTTTCGAGTATCCTACAGTAATTTTCTTTAGTGATAAGATCACATAATTCCACATAATCCTGTTTTAGTGCTTTCAAAGTGAAGTAGCTGGCCAAGTGTACACAAGCTGCTACAACTCTTTCTAGCTGGTACTCCTGACCAACAATTAACAAAGACAGAATTTGTTCTTTTTCGTCTTTAAACTGCTTCATTTCAAAAAATGGAAAAAGATCTTTGATGTGTAAACAACCAGCAACCACAGAATATGAAGCGTTCCAAAGAAAGTGTTCACACTTACGAAGAGCACAGTCGATTTGATATTCGTGAGCGAGTTTATGTAAGAGTAGTAATAGTGGCTACAATAGGTATCAACCAATCAGAGCGCAGCAAAGTTTCTCTCGACCAATCAGCATCGCGCATTTGGCCCATGTGACTTAGGTGACGTCACAATGCCCATATATGGTCATAAAATTCACGTGACCCCATAGGAATAAAGAACACGCACACACAAGAGTTGAATTCACATTCTTGGCATAGTTTTAATGAACCGCGTGAAACCTGGGTACAAGCGGGACGTGTGTGACACCCTAGTGATATCACGCCCATTACAAATCTAATAGCAAGTCAAGTTCATCTCCAATCCTCTCATAGCCATAGGGATAACTGGAACGAGTGGCGACCTCAATGACACGCTTGTCAAACACCAACCCATACTGCTTCACGCGCGGAACCACTTGAATTTGTTTCTGTTCTAAATCTCGTTTGAAATAATAAGGGTTGGTGATACTCAAATTGCGTCGAGACTCCTGGGGCGAATCTAGTTCCGACAGAATGTTCTCTTTCATGGTCTGAAAATTGAGAATGGCTGATCCACGGACGTTGAGCGTGAAACCGCGGACCTTGCACACGACTTTACCACCACGGGTCTGATACCCATAATTCTTGGCGCCCCCCGAAACAAATTCGGTGATGACGTCTCCCTCCAATTCATCGGTCATGTCCCCGAGAAAATCCCCAGTGGCAATGCTGGGTTGACCGGACCGCCATTTGTATACCACACTATCAGTGTCGTAATAAAGGACTTGCTGTTGCAGGGTATCCAGGGACTCGTAGAGCTTGAGTCGAGCATGACAGGTGGTGAACGCCGCTATGAAAATGTTAGTCTTGGTCCCTTTGACAGCATTGTCTTGGACACTGGTGTAAACGGCTTCCAAGATATCGTCCGTGCAAAGGCGGAGCGTACTGAGATCGAGGGTGGCATCGGAAATGAGATTGAACAAATCGGCGGGGTGTTGAACGGTGACAGTGGTGGGTTTATTGATCCGCTCCCCAAATTTGCCCCAGAAACTATTCAGCATGAGCTTGGCGGTGGCTTTACGACCGGGGTTTTTGGCAATGCTGGCAATATCCAATCGGATGCCTTCCCGTTCCTGGTAACGAAGAATGTAATTGCGTTTTTGCTCAAGGGTCTGACACCAACTGGGCCATCCTGCAGATTCTTGTTTTAACTTGAGCCAGGTGTTGACGTAATCAGCAAAAAGACCCGTTTGACGTTGTTCAGGGGGAAAATGCCAGACTTCGTGAATCTTGATCAGCGTGTACCCCTTTTCGACGGCTTTGACCAATTCGGGTGTACACCAGGTACCACGTAGCATACGATCTGCGTCAGAATGAGGGCAATAGTGGGTTCGGGTCAACATGGGTTGGGCTTGCTCGGTCCGAACACAGGCGCGGCAGAGAGGAAACGTGAGCTTGTTTCCGCTGCGCACGGGTAGAACAGGGTGGAATAAACCAGTGGGAGGAAGAATATCCACGGTGGCGACACCAAAATAAGATTCCAGGGACTGGTCAGCGGGTTGCGTGATGATCCGTGGATGTCCGATGGGATAGGGACAATTTTTGTTGACCCATGGATACAGAGAGGTCACATCCACATAGCGTATTTCCTCGCCTTCTCCAGCCACAGCATGCAAAGCCACCGCACCGGTTCGGCCCCCAAAGAAGGCTTCACGGGGTTCTAAGGGTGCTGCCAGATCGAAGGAATGGAGAAACCGTTGGACGGTTTCATCGGTGTCCACCAATTGGTCCCATTCACACTCCCACATTTCAAGGACTGTATAGCCTGCTCGGAGCAAGATCATGCGTTTGGCGAGCGTGGCTTGATAGAGTTCCTCCACGGTTCGATCTGGTGTGGCATAATGTTTGGCGGTTCTCACGGGATAACAACGGGGACAGCCATGATAGAGACATCCATGAAATTCGTAGACAATGCGGGTCACAGGATCGTAGCCATCCACAAAATAATGATGGGCGCTGGTTCGGATCGACTGTTCACCCCCGTTTCGGACATGACGAATGCGGTCAGCACTAGCCCCCTCTTTGGGAAGGAGGTGTTCTTGATAATAGAGCCATTGCAGGGCTTTGAGGGATTGATTGACTTGGGCCCCTCGCCAACCCGCCAGAGGTTCCACCGCGATGGTATCGGGGGTCAAATGATGCTTGCGCCAATACAAGTTGCAGGCACTGGCAATGGTGATACACTTGGCCATGGGGTTGAAGCCAGCCTGCTGTTCGAATTCGTGTTGAAAAGCTTCACACCCCGCTTTCAATAGAGCTACATCCGATTTGCAATAATCAATCATGTCTTGCTGGAAATTAAACGTGACATTACGACGGACTTGATCGGCATGCCAACGGGTCAGTTCGTCTTTCTTTTTGGCCATCATGCCGTCAGGATCGTAAAATTCCAGATCAGGGATGCGACCCACGTACTGTTGGTGATCAGGGGTATTGAACAAGTGAGGAAAGAAGCCCTTCTTTAACTCAGTCAAATTGAAGGTGCTAGGAAAAGAGGCCAGCGGCATAGGCAAGAAACACAACGAGTCAATGAATTTGAGGGGTCCACTCTTGAACGACAACACTTTAGCTCCCACCGTCAGTTGATCCTCCACCACGCGTTGTTGCTGGTACAATTCATGGAGAATGAACATGCCATCGAAGCCTTTTAAATTATGAAACACCACGAGAATCTCCCGCTGATCTTCACAGTCAGGCACGTCCGTGAGATCATCCAAATCACGCAAAAATTGGAGGGCACAGTCCTCCCCGTCCAATACATGGATGGTGGTTTCGACACTGGACGAATAACACAGTAAATTAGCCACAAACACCCCTTCTGCATTCTGCATGGCTTCGAAATCTGCATAAACAAACAGGGGAGGGGGTGGCGCCACCATGCGACCTCCCCCCTCCTCTGTCGGTTCAGTCTCCTCTGGCTCTACCGCAGGCTGAATGTAACACTTGTGGTCTTGAATAGGCACCCATTCCTGACACACAGAACATTTGGCGTACCCGCACTGATGACGTTGGTGGCGGACGACCGTGTATTGGGCTTGACACTTGAGACACGTTTTGATGGATTGACATTGGTGGCTGACTTCATGATAACGTTTACATTGATGACCGTAAAACTTACGGTGACACAGACTGCAATACTCGGTGGGGCGGGTACCAGCCACATACTCCGGACAATCAAAGCGTCCACACGCGGAGCAGCGTCTTCCTTGACAAGTATGATGGGATCGATCATCGGTGTTGAACCCTCGTTCACAGTCCAGGCAATAATAGGAGCGATTGACAAACGCAGGAAAAGACGTGCAACCATCAAAATGATCATTGGATTTCAGTAAACGAATCTGATGAGGGGCGGTGGGGCCTTTGAAAATTAAAAAGAACGGTTTCATCCGGGTCATCACCAAGAGTTGATAGTGAGATCCCAACGCTTGTTGAAACTGACGAAGCTCGGGGATGCCACAGGGACCCTCCGCGACACCCGCTTGCTGATGAAGAGCCTGGGCTTGACGTTGTTGCACAGGAAGTCCACGTTTGAGATTCTCCCAGTCGCGAAACCCGTCCACGCCTTGATTTTTATGGCAATGAGCACGCATGGTGACAATGGCGCGGGCGCAACATAAAGTATCTCTATTTTTGATGGTGATAATGCATCTCTTTTTCTTGTTGACCCGATCCAGGCATAAACGGCCGGCATTGCGTTGTTTATGTCGACCAGACCCTGGGCCAGGCATGGACACGAACACTACATCCACTTGGAACCCACGATCGGGGTTGAAGGCTTCATTGCTGTTTAATTTTCCGGCCAAGGTGGCCAACATCTCATCCAAACGAGCCGTGCGTTGTAAAAATTCTCCCACAGTAAAATTGGCGGTTTGATACGCGTGGGTGAACCCATGCGCTGTAATAGCAAAGTTCACAAAATGATGGGCAGGTCGCTGCTCGCAGTCGAGTTCTGTTTCAATGGCTTGATGCAAGGCTTCCGTGAGGGCCATCCCAATATTATCTCCAGGACCAGGATCCCGCAATTGACGCAATTGCGCATTGAATTGTGCGCGTTCCACTACATTCCGCCAGCGGCGTCGTCGACCAATAGGTTGCATAATGAATTGGAAGAGAGGGCCTCGAGCGGGAACGGCTCCGCCCAATTGTTCCCACCGGTCATAAGCGCGGTTTAATAGAGCTTCTTCTTCTTCATCACTGTCAGGATACCAGTGGTCCTCCGCCATGACGGAGGAGACAATTTGAATTTTCCCGCGCCAGACGCGGACTTTTATAGACCCAAAAACACGTGATCAGATGAACAGGGATTGGTGGACTTGACTCAGGTGAGAGTCAGGTGAGACTCAGGTGAGAGTCCATGAAGGGGATGGGGAGGGGTTGATTAGACAGGAGGAGGATTGAGGGGGGTGCCCCCCATGGGTACAGATTTTTCCAATCTCCGCTGAGCCTGGTGCGAGAGCGGTGATTGGTGGAAGGAATCTTAGATATAAGCCAGCGTTCAGACCAGACGTCAGTTGCGTTCGAGACATGCCGAATCGAGATCCAGAGAAAGTGAAAGAGGCTAAACACCGGTGGTACCTGAAACACAGGGAGAGGATTGCGACACAGAAACGGGAGAAGCGGGCGGCTCAGAAAAAACTCAAACCGCCCAAGCCACCCAAACCACCTCCGACCCAGGAACAGTTGGCCAGAGCTCGTGAATTGAACCGGTTGGCCTGTAACCGATACCGAGCCACACACGGAGACCAAGTACGGGCGCTGAATCGCAAGTACTATCATCGACACCGCGACAAGATCGTCCAACAACAACGGGACCGTCGTGCCCGAGCTCGAGAGACACCCCATCCCTTCCAAAAATTGCAAGCCTTGGCCGATGAGTGCACTGCCCGTTTACTGGAGATTGAGCATGGATACGCCAGGATCGCGCCAGCCCCCCAAACCAAGGAAAAAACGGGACCCTGTAAAAAACAAAGCGCAACAAAAAGCGTATCGGCAACGTCTATATGCCAAAATGAATGGAATGGAGGATGTCAAGGCCCTTCACCGTCGCCGCTACCATGAACGAATGGCTCGGTTGAAAGTCAGTGGTGAGTACGATGCCTTCAAAGCTAAAAAATCTCAAGAGGGGATGCAGCGCTACTACGGCATGAGCAAGGAACAGCGGGAGGAGGTCAAGCGTAAAAACGCCCAGTGTCAGAGAAACTGGCGGGAGAAAATGAAAGAGCGAGGGACCTACCGGGCTTATCTGCAACGGACCAATGCCCATCGACGAGAGCAGGCAGCCCAGAAAAGAAAAGAGTTGGGCGAGGAAGGGTGGAAAGCATTGCAGAAAGAACGGTACAACAAGCGAATGGAAGCCATTCGACGTCGAGAATGGTCCTGGTTGGACGAGGAATTAGAGCGTCCCTTTCCCCTCCCGTGGTTGCCATTGGACTTGCCCCTAATGGTACCTAATGAGGACAGTGTGCAAACCCTTCGCGCGGAGGCCTTACAAAAAATGGACTCGTACTTGTAAGAACAAAAGTTTAATTAAATCATTGTGCTATTGAACATAGTGTCTTGTTTTATGACTAAAGGGGGTTTACATGCCGAATCGAAGTTTAGCTTTCATAATGCGTCTCACAATACGCTCTGTTAAGTTTTTACTGCCAGGGAGTTGATCAATCTTGGCAATCATCTTGCGATCCGCCGCCCATTTGTCTTTCAAATTCTTGGCTTTATCATAATCGATGTCATGAGCTTTGGCAATCCTGTCCAATCGGTTGATACCGGGATCCCCACGGGCCAATCGTTTCTTTAAATGAGTGCCAGGTCCCATGTACTGATAACCGGGCCAATGAAATTCAATACCCGTCTTGTTAAGGAGGTTCTGCACATCAAATAATTTGCCGCCCCGTTGCGAGCGTCGTCGTCGCCGCCTCGCTCGGGAACGGGAGGTCGCAGCACGGCGTTTGCGTCCCATCTTAGGGGGTTTTCCACGATTTCCAATCCAAGGCTTTCTTGGCCCAACCTGCGGCTTTTTCTTTAGCTTTTTTCTTGGCCACTTCTTTGGCTTTTTGTCTGATTTTGCGCTTGATGGCTAAGGAGGGGGTGTCCCAAGGTTTCGGGCCCACGTCCTCTGAAAAGGGCAATTCTTTTGCCAACTCCGCACTGGTCGATGGGGTGGTGAACTTGAGTTTCTTTTTGGCACTAGGGGTGAACTTTGGCTTGGGCGGGACAGGGGGTTTTCTGGGTCCACGCGTCGGGGTGCCTTGTTTTATACCCTGGGTAGCCTTGACCAATTGCGTGAACCAGGCTTGCATGGGACCCGCTTCAAAATCATCATCGCCCGGGGTGGTGGCCCCTGCGGCAGTCACACCCCCAGCAGCGGCTCCAAAGGGTTGGCGCACTTTTTTAGTCCAATGGCGTAATTGACGGCTGACGGCTTTGAGTTGAGGCCGTTTCCAAGCATCAGGGACATCACTGGTCAGAAGTACATGTTGTTTGGCGGCCAAATCGGCGGCTTTGGTCAAGCGAGTGTCTTCCACCAATTCTTGTTTGTACTGGTCTCGTAATTGCAAAAAAGCCGGGGCATTGTTCACCGTGGTGCTGACCATCTCGGGTTCCATGGTGCAACTGAGGGGTCGGGTCTAGCGCATGCAACGTTTATAACATCGGTAGAGTTCCGGCCAAAGGGCACCCCCTTTTTGAGCCATCATGATGGCGCGTCGTCGTTTGACGGAATGAGCGGGTTTAGCCATGGCGCGTAAACTCTGAGCGTGAGGTTTGAGTAACGTAATGGTCTGCCGGGAACGGGGGACGGTGCCACGGAGGGTATTCATCACCAATTCACTGACAGCATTGATCTGATCCGCATTGGCCATCCGCAACAATTCTTGTCGTTTGTGTTGATTGGCTTCTCGTAAGACACTTTTTAAGAACGGGGCTTGACGTTCCATGCGCCACCCCATGATGAATCTTCAGTTCAGGCAACGACCAAGGTCTATTTATGGTAAAAATGGCGCCACACCGACCACACAATTCACCATGATAATGCCGTTGCATGTGATGTCGGCACCGGGCACACAAAGCGGCGTCATATTGGTCATCCCAATCCAACGCAAACGTGACGGCTTTGCGTTTTGGGCGTCGTTTAGTCTGGGCGTCGTAGTCGGATTCTGGGTTTGAATTTCCGGAGATACAAAGGCGAGAGAGCCATTGCCAACAACGGGAGTTTAGCACCGCGTTGGCGTCCACGTCGGCGGCGTCGTATTCGAGGGACATAACGATGTCGACGACCGTTGGGGCCACGAACCATTCTTCAATGAGAATCGTGTGTCCCACCAAGCGTTTCTTTTATAGCCTTTTCAGCGTTTCGAACCAGCCCAACCCGGCATTCGATTGAACATCCGCTGGACCCGTCGTTGGGCCAGTCGTTGATTGGCTGCACTCATCTTGCCCACTTTCTTTTTCTTTTTCTTCTTCATGAGGACGGCTGCAGCCACAGCTGCGGGGATGAGAAACGGGAGAATACCCCCGCGTTGCTTTCGGCGTCGTTTTCGTCGTCGTGGACCACAATGCATAATGATGATCTGTCCGAGGGAGGACACCCCTTTAGTCTTTTATAGTTTTTTTACATAATGGAACAATTAAAGGATTCCCCCGCGTATTTTTTCCGTTTGCCTGAAGCCACTTCTCGTCGACGTTTTTCGCCAATGGCGATGGCACGCTTGGTTTGATGATCCCCGATGGCTTTGGTGATCCCATAGCCGGCTTTGAGAATGCCCATAGGTAAACTGGCTGCAACACCCCCTACTTGACTCACACGCCGTCGTCGTTTGGCGGGTCGTCGTCGTGTCGTCCTGCGTTGGCGTTTGCGTCCCATCGCGTGTCCACAACGGCCATACATTTTTTAGAATGATGTGGCCAAGAGACAACTGTTTTTATATCCTTTTTTCTGTTTTACGCAGACCTGGAACCTCGCCCACGGCCGCGGCCGCGGCCACGGCCCCGTCCTCGACGTGGGGGTCGTGGGCCGGACGTGCGGGTGGACGTGCGGCGCACCGAGGGACGACCCCCCTCTTCGTAGACGGTGGTGACGGTATTAGTGTGCGTGATGTTGCGGATGCGTCGACCTCGAGCCCGTTCTTGAGCATCTTCATTGAGCAAATCCAATCGTCGCCTTAAACCTCGCCCTCGATCGTCATCATCGTCATCCTCGTCATCCTCGGACGGAGGGGACGAATCGGGGGATGGTGGGGAGGGCACCCTGGGGCGCCGTCGCGGTTGTTTGGCGGCGATGGTGGGGCGTCCAGTGGGGGTCGTCACCGTGGAGGTGGTGGTCCTGGTCCCTGCCCCAACACTGCGGCGGCTGGTGGAGGGGCGTGAGGGAGCCGTGGTGGTCGTGGCGGTGGTAGCAGGGCGTGTTCGGGTGGAGGTGACGGGTCGTGGTCGACTGGTGGTGGTAGTCGTGGTGGGACGAGTTCGGGTCGATGTGGTGGGACGGGTTGGGGCTGCCGTGGTAGTGATGGGGACTGTGGTGGTGGTGGGGGCCGTGCCAGTGCCTGCTACGGGTGGGAGCGTGAAGGCATTCAAGGCATCGTCTACATTGACCGGGTAAGTCAAATTAAAATCCTCAATGTCTTGATTCAATTGGTCCCGATCCACGGGTCGAGACAATTCGGTCACCATGTCCGTCATGCTGCTGAGATCTCGGAGGACCGAGGGGGAACCTACCCCCGCGGGTGAGTGTGTATCCATGCGAGCGGCTAACTCAGTATGTTGTCCGCCTTCTCTTTGCCGACGAACCCTGGCGAGTTCTCGTTGCAGTTCGTTTTCGAACGGCAGGGACATCCGCACGCAAGGTGTGGACTTGCGCCTTGCCTTCTCGGGGCGTTAAATGACTCCACAGGCGGTAGCGATCATCCGAGGCTGGATGCACATCCAACATCAAATAGCCAAAAGGTCGAGCCGTGATGCGTTTAAATAGGCGCAACACTTGACGCCACCGATCCGGAAAGGCTTGCAATAAAATGGTCCGTATCCCTGTTTGATCCCGGGGGTTTTTGAAGGCCACAATGTAATGCGCGTTGCGATTGATGGTCTTGGAAAATTTGCCAGGCGGGAATAAATCTTGCGTCAAATACAACACCGTGATGTTACGATGATGCGAATCTTTGGTGAACAAATCCAACACGCGCTTGTCTTGTCCCCCTTCTTCCATCAGGTCGTCCAAGATCAACACCCCGCCACGCGTTCGACCAAACCATTGCGTCAAATGACGGGGGTCCGGTAACCCGCGATAAAATTGAATTCCATCTTTTTGCTGCATCCGCTCGAACCGGGGTTGCCAACGATCATAAGCATACACAATCTTGCGGGGTTTGACTTGAAACACGTTCAGGTACCGTAACCATTGTTCCACCAAATCCGTCTTGCCACTACCCGACGGGCCTGCGATGATCACACTACTAGGTTGTCGGATCATGATTCCCACGGTCGAGGGTGACGTCGATAATGACCGGTGGCCCCTTTAGCGCCCATGCGTTTATACCGTTTGTCGCGTCCCAATTTATCCCCGATTTTATAGGCTTTGGCCAACACGCTCATGATCCCGCGCCCGTTTTGGCGAAAGCAGGGTCGTCGGGTGCCCTGTCGTTGTCGTCGCCGTCGTCTGCGATGGGGCATGCTGTCCAATACTCGCGATACACACGTGGCGATTCAGACTGGATCAGACCTTCCATGATCTCTCTTAAATACGTTTCGCTCATGCTATCCATATACTGTTTGAGAGAGACCCAATCTTGGTCTTGGGCCAATTGTCGGGCCATGAGCCAATGATACCCATCCCAGGCATCAATGCCTTGCACCGTGTTGACCCGTTCGATGGGGTGTTCCCACCAATACAAGGTTTCTTCGAGAATGAACGCATCCACAATACGCTGGACATCGCTTCGCGTAATCATCATGAGAGACAAATGACCACTCGTTCACAACACATCTCGTTTTATGGTTTTTATTAACATGCACAAGGATGACACGTGATAAAGGCCTGGCGGCTTACATTCTTTTGCCCCCCATCAGGTCGGGCATCCACTTCATCTTGTAATTCCTGTTTGATCACCCGTTTCAACTGCTCGGCCACTTTTTGATCATTCAACACTAAATTATCGCAACTCCATTGACTTAAAAATTCTTGATACGACCGTCCTTGTGCCCGGGCTTTCAAGAAAAATAAAGCATAATGGCCACAGGTTTGACTATCCAGGGCTTGCAGGGTCTGGTCACTGCGCGTCAGGTACTTCCATTGACCCCACCATTGGTGCAACTCCGGGGTGGTGTACACGTGCAGGGGTAGACCATAACTGTCAAAGATCTCGCACTGGTTTTTTTCGGTCCATAGGCCCAACCAATGCTGGCCCGGTTCTCCCGCGGGGTCCGTGTTGACAATGTAGGCTTGACGGATCTCCTTGGCGGGGGATCGGGGGAGTTGGTCGGCGGGATGCACCCCATGAAACACGCGTCGTAATTCGGGATCCTCCAAGGCCAGGGTCCGCAACACAGTGTCACTGAGTGCCACAAACTCCATGCTCGGTGTCTTTTGACTTCTGATTTCTCAGCCGTTGATGTTGTACTTTATACCTCCCAGATGGTTGATCTCATACATGTTTTCATACTCGCTCCATATCAAGACGGTGACGTTGTGTCCCACAGCCGCCGAAAAATCAATAATCAATCGCGTATTGCCCGATTGACGGGGGTTGCGATATTCAGGGTCATCGGCTTTTTGACTAGGCACATTGTTGAACATGAACAAGGTACAATTCTTGCCTTGTCCCCAATCACCAGGCAGCAGCATGGGAATCTTGTTTTCATTGTAGGCACCCATGGCTTGTAGAAATCGATCGTAGCCCAGCAAATCTTCATAGGCTTGGTCTCCTGTCAATTGCAGGGTTCTGTAAGGGTATTCTTCTCCATTCAAGGTCTGTCGTACTTGGGTGACCCCAAACTTTTGAAAGGCAAAAGGGTATCTTTCCAGGTCTCCATTGAAGGCATCCGAATGCAATAACCCGACGATCACTCGATCAGGAAATCGACCCACAAACACATTGTCTTGTTCCCATTGGGTGGTGCGTCCATCAAAGGAAAAGGTGCGAATTTCACTCCGCACCACAGGGTAGCGGGCAATCTGTTTGTTCAGTTGTCTTTCTTTTTGCAGTCTGACATAGACAGCAGCATTCAGGGTCACTTTTCTCATCAACAAGGTGACTTTGATGTCATCATTGTGGATGGCTGGAATTTTCTTGGTGACTAAGGTGCCTTTGTTGGGGGAGCCCATCAGGTAGATGGTCTTGGGGTTGAGGAACAGTTCAAAGTCCATCTGGATATTGGGGACCAACAATTTGCCTGTATGGAGGGTGGGCAAATGGGGGCGAACGATGAAGGTGTGCCAATTTTCACTCAGTAACTTGCTGGTCAGGGTTCGCAAGTCTGCATTGCCACTCCAATTCGCGGCCACAGGGACATCAGAATTGGCGGCGGTGGCTCCTATTTCTTCTGCTACATTCAGCTGATTGACCCATCCTTGGGGAGCTAGCTTGGTGGCTCCTTCTTCTCGGTTGTAATTCAGCAGGGTTTCTATGTAGGCTCTGTAATGGTAAGTGTTGCTCTGTTCGGTCACAAGGACGCCATTCATGCTCATGGTAATGTCTCGAAAGATGGTGTGGCCAAAATTGTTGACGCAGTAGACATGTCTGGTTTCGTTGGCATTGGAAATGAGCAGACCCGCATGCAGTCCTGTATACCCAGCAGCTGGATCGGTCAGGCGCACTTTGACTTTGAAGCGGAGAGAATTGAGATCGTAATAATCGTCAGAGCCAGGAATGGAGAACGTGATGGGCTGGATGCCTGTCAAAGCGGGTTGAAACTCCACCTCCCGCGAGGCTTCGTACCGATAATCCACATCAGGCACCTCAAACAGTTCGAGCGACATGGTGCGATCTGTCCACGAGGTTCAACGACGTCCTCTTTTTATACCTTTTCGTAGTCTGTGCCAATCATGGATGGGATGCGCGGCGGGAAAGGGGCGGTGCGGAAAATCGATTTGAATGCGTTTTTTCAATCGGCTAAAGACGTTGCCTCCTTTCTGTTTCTTCTGTTTCCGGGCTTTGGCTTGATTGGCCCACAACACTGTTCGGAGATCCCCCTTGCCCAACGCCCCAATAATCTTGCCCCCTTTCATGCGGCGCAGGGCCTGTTCCACCCTCCATCGAGCAGGATTGATGCCATCGGCTGCTGTGGGGAACCCCAAAGGATTTTGGCGCCTACGAGTGGACGTGCCGAAAATCGTGCCCCCTTTCATCCTGCGCTGTAGGTAACGATCCAATTGGCGGGAGGACGTGTGCATCAGCGGATAACGCGCTGTAGTCGACTTGCCAAAGATCGTGCCTCCCACTTGATACGGTGAAATAAACCGTCCACGGGCCCGTTGCCGTCGAACGCGATTTTGCGATTTGAGAAAACCTCCTACACGTACCATTGTTTTCACAGTCCAAAGATGTCCCGTACGCGTTGCGTGGCTCTTTTATAGGTATTTTGAGCGGTCCGTTTAACCTTGTGTTTGCCAGCCGTCCAAGCCATGGCAGGGGCTTTGCGTTTCAAGCCGCGACTGAGTTGGGCACTTCGATCCGCCCACGTGGCTGCAGCACTCTTGCCACGTTGAATATCTTGCAGTCCCGCTTGAGCTTGTTGCACGATCAGGGGTCCCGCGATTTTGATCAAGTCTTCGGCCAAGCCTTTGCCCTTTTGCTGGGTGAGCACGGGCGTGTGGTACCGCGTTAAACTGCCTCCGCGCATGGTTCACGTCGTGTTTTGGACCTGCCAGAGACGTGGAGTGGCTTTTTATAGCTGCTTGAGACCAATGGTCACCAGGGTTTTGCCCGGGGGTAAGATGGCCAGGGGTCCACCAGTGCTGGCAATCTCCACTTCCAAGATGTCTAGTTGATTTCCTCGTAGTTTGATCCATTGGTGGTGCAGGGGTTCGGCTGTACTTTCCCCATCGCCGGTTCTCAACAATTGCACTTCCCGCAACAGGGGATATTTGCCACTCCCTACCACCGTGGATTCGACCAGATCCGAATAGACCATGACGGTCCGTCTGCGAGTCCCCACGATCTTTTCAAACGAGGCATCCAGGTTGTTCAACTGCCATTCCACTAGCAAGGACAAATGCAAAAACTTCACACCCTGATGGGTCCGAACCTGCATGGGATCATGTTCAATACTGCTGACCATTTTGCCAAACAGCAAGGAGGGATTGACGGCCTCGTAATTCACACCTTCCCAGTTGTAGGGCGAGCGATTGGAGTTTCCTTTGGGTGGAGTGTCCGAATCGTACGTCTTGGTGGGCAGCGTGTATTGCATATTGGGCCCTAGGTAATACTTGGTCTCGTTGTTGACTATCTTTTCCTCTACCAACCCAAACTTGAGCGCAATGTCCAGGTTGATGAAAAAATCAGTGATGGCGGTCTTGTCCTCTTTAATCAAATCCATGACGGGAAGGGCCTTAATCACCAAGGCACCTTTTTTCCAGGTCAGTCGGGGCATGGCGTTTTGTTTGGCACTGACAATAGGTCTTTCGTCAGGTTCCGTGACCAGCCACCGCATTTGTTCCGCCATCACATTGTGCATCATTTTGTTGTGCATTTCTTGCATCACGCGTTTCCAAAACTGACTCCCCGTCGCCACGATTTGACTCGCATTCATGATCTCTTCCAATTCCAACACGCAGTCCACGGTTTTTATCTCGGCAAATCGGTACATCCCCGTCACCCACTTGCGGATCACATAGCTCATTTTGAATTTGATCACTTTGGTATGCGGATCCGCCGCAATGATGGCATTGCTCTGACCTTGATCTGGCACGGTCAGGGACATCAACGAAGCATGCCAGCCTGTGCCTGGTAAGGACATGCGTTCGGGCAGACGGACCTTGAAACTGTTGTTGGCATTGTTGGGAAACTCGTCGGTCGGATCGCTGATGAGTGTCAAGCGTTTAATCTCACTCATGTTGAGGATGAAGATAAGGCACGTTCCCCAGGGTGCAGGGTCCTTTTATAGCCAAGTCGCCACTTTCTGTTTACTGCGAGGGACACGTCCCACCACTGAATTGAAGGTCGATTGTTTAGGATGAAAACACACTTGCTGGGCAATGTTGGGAAAGGCCCGGGCCAGTTCCATCAGGGTCATGCAGGTCTTGGGTTTAGGGGGTTTCTTCTTGCGCATGGGGGGATGCCGTCCAGCGCGTCGGCGTTTTTTCTTGGGTGGGGACCGTAAAGCCCCTCGTTGCTTGGCATACTCTTCGGCTCGATGGTAAGCATTGGCGTAGGCCCATTGCTGTTTGGTGGGGCTGGCCAACTTGTCCCACCACGGTTGGGTTTGCCGTTGTTCGGCGGCTTTCTTCTGGATGAATTTCAGGACGTCCGCGTCACTGGTGGGTGAGGGCGTGTAACTAGCTCGCGGTCGACTGGAATCCGCCAGGACTTCATCGAGAAACCGTACCCGCTTTTTTCTTTTTCGAGGCGTTATTTTGACGCGAACCATATTGCGCAGGAATCCAACTATCGTACTTGGCCGGCCACCCTTTCCACCGGACCAAGATCTGACGTCCTTTGCGTTTCAAGACTTTTTCGATTCGAAACAATGAATCGTCTGAGACTTGGACTTTTTGCACATCGGGTTCGTAAAACGTGCCTTTTATAGGCGTGCCGTCCCATTCACTGAGTCGATAGGTCACCACGGGATGACGACGCACATGCGTGACCACAAACACTTCTTCCGTCCAGCCTGGCAAATACCCTTTTTTGAAGGGACGATGTTTCTTGTTGAGACGCACCCGATCGCCCACTTGACATTTGGGTGGGGGGATCTTGGTCTTCAATCGGGCTCCATAGAGTCGATCCCATACCTCGGACTCGTTTCGAAAGGTGACTTGATGCGGCGCCAACCCAATACTGCGATGATACGTGTGATTGTAGGTATAGATCAAAGGTTGCAACACATCCACGTACCGTAACGTATTGTGCGCGGTGAAATACCGGTACATGCGTTGTTTCAAGGTACGATGCCATCGTTCCACCACCGAGGCCTTGCTATCTCCATACGTGTAAAAATGATGCCAGTCGTGTTTCTTGAACCAGGCTTGGACCTGGCGATTCAAAAATTCTTGGCCTTGATCCGTTTGCACGCGGAGGGGTCGTCGTGGTGAGGCGCGTCGGCGTATGGCTTCCAACCCTTTGATCATGTTGGCGGCACTCTTGGATTTGATGGGCACGGCCCAGGCATACTTGGACAGGACGTCGATGACCGTTAACAAATATTTGTTCCCCTGATTCCACCGACTGAGTTTTTGCATGTCCACTAAATCCATCTGCCATTGTTCGTCTCGGCCAAAGACCAACGTGGGGGTGGTGGGAAATCGGGTCCGTCGGGGTTTGTGGAGCGTATAGCTCAACACGGATTGAAGAATCTGTTGCGCTTGCGGGGTTTTCAATTTATGGGCTCGGGCAAAGGGTTGGACCCCACCCAAGGCCCCCGGTTCTCGGGGATCTTCGTAAGCGCGTGGCAACGACATCAAGACACTGACACAGGATTCGAGTCCAATTCTGTCTTTAATAGTTTTTTTTCACCTACATGAATTTTTTTCAAAACAAACACGAACTGCCAAAGTTCTTATGCAAATGGCGCCTTCTCTCAAACTCTTGCTCTTGGGCTTGGATCGACTCGCCAAACTGTTTCATCCACGGATCATACTTCATCTTTTCTATTACTGGGTTTGGCCTCTCACCATAACGCATCTCTACAGCGTGCATGCCCCAGGGTCTCTCTTTCTCGGGGTCTTTCATAAGCTTGTGTTGGAGCTCAGGGGGTGTGTCTTTCACCCATCGTCTCAGGGTCGGTTGCGCTTGCTCACGGGGGCACCACAAGGGACCATGGAGCCATTGAAAGTAGCCACAGGGGTCTCTCCCAGGGACAAAGCTCCCACAACTGAAAAACACTTTGTTACGATTTTTGGCCGTGCGACTCAATTTCATCTTGGGAACAAACTCACACTTGCACTTGAGCTCTCCGTGTTTCAAACGGGCATGGACTTGAGGATGCGTGTCGTTTTTTAAAGCCTCCATCATTATTTCTCGCGTGTCTTCAAACAAATAGACTGGACACCCTGGTTGGGGACACTTGAATCTCAGGGGACCAAACCTGGCTTGGGGGTTGACACATTGAATGAATTGATGGGGATGAAACGGGCACACTTCATACAGGAGTTGGTTGAACTGGGTATCCATCTGGTCTATGTCCTGGATATCCCATTCTCCCACTTCGGTGGCTGGATCTGAATGAAACGTCCCTTCTGCTACACATTCTTCTTTATAGTCTTTCAGGGTACCTTCCATCAATGCGTTCACGGATTGATCGGTGGGAGAGGGTGTGGGCAGTGGGTCCACCGCTTTAGGCAAGGCATCGAGCGCGATCACTAGTTCATTGGCAGGGGGTTGTTTGGCTTTCATCTCTGCGAGTTCAGCTCGGGAAAACCCGAGCTCGGCCATCTCCTGATCATGATCCGCTTTCATCTGTGCAGCTCGCGCTTGGGCTTTCTCCTCCTCCTCTTGTTTTTGTTTCTTACTGACGCGACGTCGTTTGCGTCCCGAAGGCACTGCGGCAGGTTGAGTGGCTTGACGATTCATCTGGACGAATGAGTTCCAGGGAGCGTCCACTCGGCCTTTTATAGCCCCTCCTCCTGCCTCATGTGATGTCCCTCGTGATGCTCATACGATCTTTTTTCTACCAATCCGGACTCGTCCTGGGATCTCGTGAGGGTGGTGTGATGTGGGTCTCTACCAATCAGCGACCACTCTAGTGGCTATAAAACCCGCGAGGCATCCAACACCCCTCTCATTCATTGCAGTCAAACCAACACAGTAAGTATGACGCTCCATCAAGTGGGTCTTTTGGTGTACAGTCAGGGGTTTGCCCTTTCCCGAGACGAATACATTATTCGCGAACTGGCGTTTTGTGATTGGACGGGGCATCATCATGGCTTGATCAAATATTTGTTACCCCTAGGCGTGTCGTACCATCCATTATCCGAGGAGGCCCGGACACGCGTCGATCGTCAAACCCAGACCGTGCATGGCTTGCCCTTCGAACCCTACACAGCGTACAATCGTCAAGACTTTCATCCCTACGAACAAATGCGAGACGATATCACCCGTTGGTGTCAACAGCATCTCACCCCCCAGCGGAATCGGATCGGGGTTCACACGCGCAATGGGCTGACTAAAATGTTGCAAGAGCCCCCGTTTGCCTACCCTCTCGTGGTCCTAGAAGGGCAGGGGTGTGGGGACTTGGCCAATCTCCCTATTGCCACCGCCAATGTCATGGCTCACCACGATCATGGTCGTAATTGGTGTGAGGATCATTCTCATGGAGCCCGTGGGAGTGGTATCTGGCATGATCATTGCGCCCATGTACGGGTCTGTCAAATGAGTGGATGGTTACGTCGCCAGACCCATGTCCTTCCCACCCTCACGCAAATCAACGCCCAACGCGTGTTGTGGCAAAAACGGTGTGATCGATTATTAGACTATCTGCTATGCAACTATTGTACCGAGGCCAAAGACCAGGCGTTTGCCAACGGTCAAGGACTGGATTGGATCCCGGATGATTGCAGTGATTGTCGTAGCGTCTTACATGTCTTGGAACAAACCGTGACCCAGCGGGAATGGGATGTACCCCTGATGTACGCTGATGATGAACCGCATACCATGTGGGCTTGGACGCCCATCCCTCATCATAAACACTGAATTTTTTTTTTTATTTTTTTCAGACCATGCTCATTTACACAGGCGGTGCTAAAGGCGTGGACACGCATGTGGAACGATTATGTCACTTGTATGGTCATACTTGTGTGGTCTTTATCCCACCCTGTCACCCTCGATCCAAGGCCCTCACGCCCTTGACCCAGTCCCAGTTGGATGCGGCCACACCCACCGTCACCCAGGTGGCGTTTCGATTGGGTCGACAAATTCATCATCCCATCAGCCTCCAGTATATTCAACGCAATTATTACGTCATCCAGCCTGCGTCCCTCGTCCTCGCTTTGGGTCATTTTGACGAACTCGGCAAGCATCTGTTGGGTGGTACAGGATGGGGTGTGGTCATGGCCCAACTTTTAGGCAAACCCCTCTATGTGTTTGATGTGGATAAAGAACAATGGTCTTGGTGGAATCCCACCTCCCAAGAGTATCAAGTTTGTGACGACATGACCGAGACCCAAATCGCGTTACCCACCCTCCAAGACAAGACGGCCATTATCGGCACCCGAGAAGAAGACCCAGTCCTCTATCCCACCCTGGAAGCTTTATTCAAACGTCAATGAAAAAAAAAACATGGCTCTAGATAAATCACGTGTTTTTAATGTTCTTAGTGTACATCCATGAAAATAAAATCCATGGCATTCATGACTTTGTAAATCAAGTCCAGTCTGTTCATCACTTTGTCCACGGTGTCATAGGAGGGCTTTCTTTGGCCAATCATAACCGGACGTTGACCCACAGGATGCTCCTTAAACCTTCCATAAAACTGATCAATGATGAAGGCTATTCCCTCGTTCATGAGTTTGTCCAAGTTCGGCTTGGGGCGCGACATCTCTACTGACATACCAATCTAAAAAACCAAAACCATGTCAGTCATCGGGTCACCAAGACAAAAAAAAGGGACTTTTCAAACAATTACTTACCGACAACCGGTGATCGTGTATACGATGGCAATGGTGGCAGCCATTGGTCCGGGGGGCATGTAGACGTACAATCACTTCATTCCACCATTGACCCTCACCTAGGTGTCGAGGAAAGCCTGTGACAGAGCAACAGGGTAAACTTTTGATCTCTCGCACCACCTTCTTTCTCTTATCCATGGTGTAAAAACACTCCACCCAAAACATAATCTTGACTTGCACTTCTAGGGGCAACACGCGGCCAAACGGTTTATTTCTGGGATCAACAAGTCCACGGCAGTCCATGTTGAAAACAACGTCAAGCATGGAATGAAGTCTCTCTGCCCTGTTTCCTTTATTCATGGGTTTCTGTGGCCAATCGCCTACTCGCGCCAGGACTTGGCATCCACCCTAAAAAGGTGTACCCATGGGGGGCACCCCCTAGAGTTTCCTCTCCTGGTCAAATTCTCCCACATGATCTCTCTCCACCAATCAGCGCCTCCCATCAAGTCTCTAAATCCCGTTGCGCGCTCCATGCGAGCTCATTCCAGTTTGATCAGTTGTCCTGTTCAACATGGTGAGTTCGTTGCAGTCGATCGTGTTATTTTCCGTACCTATTGCTGTCCTCTTCGACATGTTAAAGATTTTACACCACCTGCCGATGGGCCACGAGTGTTTTCGCGCGCTGTTCCGTCGCTGTACTCATGAAGAGTTGCGGAATTGGGCCAAAACGTTGCCATGGGACCACCCGATCGCCCGCAAATTAGACCATGAGGTCCATCGCCGCCGTATGGCTGGTGAGTGTCATTGTTTCATTTTTTTTTTGGGGTGTGGGTCCCTTTTTTCCTTATACCTTTTTTTTGATTTTTCATAGAGGTATTCAAGGGGTTCGAGTTTCTACGCACCGTGCTGTGGCCTGTCCATCTATGTCTTTGCCCTCGACGTGCTAGACTCAATTGGGCCGCACGGTTCTGGGTGCCAAATTGTTCGTGTTGATTTTTTTTTTTTTGTCAGATTCTTGGGAGTATGTAGAGAACCAACCCGTGTGCCATATATACCAGTGGCTCGCCCATCCCACCCCTGGTGGAGTGTGTAATCATTGTGAACGGATGATGGACGGATTCAGGTTGGATGACCTGATTGCTCGCCGTAGGGTGGGGTCCCTCACTGAAGATGAGATTGTGAACTATGTGCAGAGTGGGGACCCCAATTATCGGGATTGGGATGATTTTCCGTTACGTATGACGTTTCGTATTAATTCGTTTTTACGGTCCCAGGGTATCGTGGGTGAACCGGATTTGGCGGCCTTGGATTTTTTAGAGGATTAATTTTAGTTAATTTTTTCACAGGCACACATTGCCTGTTACGTCATCACTTACAGTGGATTCCGAGAGTGTCCTCTTTAAACTCTCCTTTTTTTCGCATCCTGATTCGTCCACTTTCCACCTCTTTGTAGGCTTTCATTATACGTTGACACAGTATGGAGATTGGGTACGACCCATTCAATTACGATGTCATTATAGCACTGTCCAATGCGTAATCCAACTTCATGAAACGTTTAGTCACGTTAACAGAGTATGGGGGATGGATACATCCCGTTCAATGTGTAATCAGTCTTCATAAAACGTTTCAGATGTGATTTCTGTGATTGGCCTTTATGGTTTTCAGATGTGATTTCTGTCATAGAAGAATGGGGGTGGATCCTTTCCTTGCAACACCATTACCATATTCATAGTGTTCGACAATTCACTCAGTTTTGTGATGGTACTGCTTTTTAGATACCTGTAGACACCTCAAAAGCGGTCGCTGGTTCCGAGATTGTGTGGCTTTTTTACTTGGACGAGATACCAAAGACATTTATTATTATTGAATTTTTTTAGAAACACATAGTCATATCTACAACAGTTGCTGGTTCCGAGACCGTATTGCTTTCTTACTCATGAAGACCGAGTATTAATTTTTTTCGTAGATTCGCACACAATTCTCAGCACCCACAGGGTTCATGGTACTTCCGCGGCCTGGTGTTTTTGTAGCAGTGTCACGCAATGGTACACTGGAAAAGGGGACTTCCTTCCACCTTATCCAAGACCCCTCAAATTACTCTGTTGTCGTTGTTTTTTAAATTTTCGTCGTGTGCGCGATTTAGATGTGCCCTGTTATTGGTGTGAGTTGATGCAAGGGATGGGCTATCCACCCCGTGATTAACACCCATCCGTTGTTTTTCGTTTCAGATACTCGTTTTGTCATACGAGCTATTTATATCCCTTGCCTTTTTCAGCCACTGCCCAGATAATAGAAAATCACACCAGATATTACCATGCTTATCTGATGAAGCAGTTGTATTTTGTGTGCAAACGCTGTTGGACGTATTCACGTCACGTGAACACCCTCCATGAACCTTGTTGGGGATGTCATATTTTAGAAAGCACAGGATGGGATTTTTGAACACCCGGCAGGGGGAGGTCTGCATGGTGGCGCCACCCCTGCTGGATGTTCATTCTCATTTTTTTCATTTAGATTCTCATCGGATGCTAGATGATGAGATCCTTAAAATCCTTATAGACTTTGATTCGTCTATCCTCAAAGAAGGACCAACGTACTCCATTCGTTCAAATGATTATTTTTTTCATTAGAATCCCATTGGATCATTGACTTTGCTATGATTTTTCGAGGATGGCCCATCCCTCATCAACTTTCTATCGTTCTTCATTAGATTCTCATTGGCTTATTCAAGATCTTATGATTTTTCGAAGCTGGCCTATCCCTCATAAACTTTGCATTGTCAATCATCAAGGATGGTCTAGTTTTCTCCATTTGTTCAAACTCAGACGTTGATTTTTTTGTTTCATCAGTATGTCAATGGTTCTTAGATGCTCTTAGAGGGTCCAACAAATTCCATTGGCTCCAACTAAAGCGTTAATTTTTTCGTTTTTATTAGTATGTCATTGGTTCCTGGATGCTCAAACTAAGATATTGATTTTTTATTAGCCTGTCACTGGATCCTAGACCATTTTGATTATAATCAAGACTGGATTTTAATAGAATATTATTGTAAACAAACATTTCAAGGGCGTGACATCACTAGGGTGTCACACACGTCCCACTTGTAATCGAGGTCTGTTTTTTATTTTCCAGTCAATCATTGGACCCTAAACCATCGCCTTGTGCGTGCCAATGGTCGGCTGTTTCTCATCCAGTTTGCTTCTTGGATCTAACCATTCCTCTATTCAATTCGTTTCAGTCACTTTGGCCACGATCAAATTCCCTTTCCTCAAACCATGGTCATACACAGGTTTCAACCACTACATCAAATGGCCTCATCCCAGTCATATGACTTCTTCTGCCATGAAGCAAACACCTTTTTTCGATTTCGTGCATTAATGTAAAAAAAAAAAATGGGCGTGATATCACTAGGGTGTCACACACGTCCCGCTTGTCACCAGGTTTCACGCGGTTCATTAAAACTATGCCAAGAATGTGAATTCAACTCTTGTGTGTGCGTGTTCTTTATTCCTATGGGGTCACGTGAATTTTATGACCATATATGGGCATTGTGACGTCACATAAGTCACATGGGCCAAATGCGCGATGCTGATTGGTCGAGAGAAACTTTGCTGCGCTCTGATTGGTTGATACCTATTGTAGCCACTATTACTACTTGTAAGAAGAAGCAATTGCCGTTCGTCACTGCTGGCGACTCTGCACAGGAATAAACCATCACTAAAATTTCTTTGAATTCAGCGCTCGCTTTGTTTGGAAATGAGATTTCAGTTTCCTTCCTCTCTGAGAAGTTCGAAGTAAACATTCTTTCAAAAACAGGAGACCACATTGCGAGGACCCAGCGATGAACGTAAAACCTTTGGTCGTCCACCAGAAATATCACATCACTTGATCCGTAGTTACTAAAACAAGGAATGACCTACAATGACCTACAATGATCTACAATGACCTACAATGATCTACAATGACCTACAATGACCTACAATAATCTACAATGATCTGCAATGATCTACAATGACCTACAATGAGCTACTATGACCGAACGTGTAATCCCTGCAATGAGCTAAAATGAAGATTTTAGAAAAAGACAAAAAAAAAGATCAGGGGACATGTGTGCGTAAACGTAACGCGTTTAGTCTACTGCATGACAGCCCATTTAACGATGACAGCATCTCTAATTATTACGCTTGGAGATAAATTTACAGTGTAATAATACATGTATGATGATACTGTGACTTTTGTCCAAACCATCCCTTGCAACCTTTCGCATTAGTTTTATTTTGTCTTGTCTTTTTTTCAAACAAATTGAACAAACACAGTCACCCCAACAGTCGTTCCGGGGGGATCTTCAAGGGACGTAAGGGTACAGGTGAACAAAGGAGGCCTTCAAATTCTGACCCTGTTCAAAAGAAAAATTGTTCATTTTTTTAAGTACCCTGGCCTGTATAAGACATCATAAGACCCTTTAAATGGCTTCCGGTCCACCAGGATGCTCTGTTTGTAACGCTATATAGTAAAATCCATATCCTGCTCAGCGGCCCATACCCATCTAGGCCAAATGAGGAAGTGCTTTCATGACTTCCGTCAATAGAGCGTATAATAGTGCTATACCGGTGAAAACGCGATTGCAATAATCTATTTTCAAGTTTCTCAAGTTACCTGAGATCAGGCACAATTTTTGTTTTGCCTTTTCAAAATGTGCTTGGCAATTTAATTGATGGTTTTCACGCTGACGTCATCAGATTGCAAAGTCAAAAAAGCGAGGTTTTACGAATTCTTATTTACACTAGGTTGAAGATTAATAGGAAATAAATCTTTGTACAAGTTTCCAGCCCCGAAGCATGTTTCATTTCGAAAATACAGCAGTTTGAACTTCCGAGTTTTCACACTGCGTGACACCAAAAAAGGAATGCTATCTCCTTGAAAAAAGTCTCTCCGCTTGATTTTCAGCAGTTTAACCATTTCAAGTATTAGAAGATATGTTTATGCGCAAGTATGCTAGTTCTCGAGTGAAAAGGAGGAGCTTTTATAGAAAAAGTGAACTCCAGATGTTTTTGTTGATTTCCGGCGGCCATATTGGTGGACAGTTTCTGTCCACCAATATGGCGTCTCCATACAAAGCTCTACAAAGGTGCGTGAAATGTTTCGGCAACTAACTCAGAAACTGTGGGCCACAAAGACCTGAGATTTGGACAAATTGTTTATATATTAGTCTTCTATAACATTTCATTTTCTTGGCTTCTTCCACTGGACGGTTTCAAATGTATTTTTTTGTGCCGTGTTTATTGCGTGACAGTGAAAACGAAGAATACCATGAGCCTAGTGTCACGTCCAAGCGTGACACACGACAAACATCATTGTCTGTCATTTTGTAGCTCATTGTAGGGCTTATTTTAACTCATTTTAGCTCGTAGTAGCTCATTGTAGCTCGTAGTAGTTCATCGTAGATCATTGTAGGTCATTGTAGGCCATTGTAGGTCAGTGTAGGTTATTCCTTGCTTTCGTAACTACGACACACGTTCCCTGATCTTTTTTTTTTTTTTGTCTTTTTCTAAAATCTTCAGTTTAGTTCATTACAGGGATTACACGTTCGGTCATAGTAGCTCATTGTAGGTCATTGTAGATGATTGTAGATGATTGTAGATCATTGTAGATCATTGTAGGTCATTGTAGGTCATTGTAGGTCATTCCTTGTTTTAGTAACTACTCACTTGATCTCCATGGCTTGGTAAAATCACTTCCGTTTAAGACTCCTTCATTTTCCATTTTCTCCAGTCCTTTCTCCACAGCTTCGATGACTTCGTTATTCGTTTGATCCTCCATTGTAGGAAAAGTAACAAGAGCCGTTTTTGTTCGTGTTTTTTTTTTTTTAGAGCAACGGAAGAAATCATTATTGCTTAGACTGCAAAACAGTCCGTATTTTTGCGTATTCAAGTACGGGCGAGCAGTCACACGCCCTAAGGGCGTGTGAGGCTCGCGCACTTCGCGCGCCCAAGACTCTACCGATTTCTTTACTGGTTTTGAGAAAAAAACCGACTGTTTTGCAGTCTAACAGAATTACCATACCTCATTCTGAAGGTAATGCGGACTGGGTCTTTAGCCAAGCTGCTTTGGTAAATTCTTTAGTTTCGGTGGTTTTGGGCCCGACCTTTTGACTTTTGAGGGTGATTTCAGAAAAAATATCCTGCAGACTGGAAAAAATACCGTAAAATTCCGAAAATAAGCCCCTCCATGTATAAGCCCCTCAAAATCGTAACATAAAAAACCCTCCGTTAAATCGCCCCTCCGAATATAAGCACCCCGGGGGGCTTGTACATGGAATTTGCTCTCGAATACAAAGCAAAACAAAGCAAAAATGATAAATTTCCTTCACACTACAGTATGTTGCCCAGTATCCGGACATTTCAGTTTAAAATTGCAATAACTTTCCTTTGTTAATCGCAAGAGCTCTGAAATTTGGCCCAGAGAAAATCTATCTAGTCCTTAATATGACGAAAGATAGTTTAACTTTTTTGCCTTTGTTTCCATCGCGAAATTAATATTTTTGCAAAGCTCCTATGTTGCCCAGTATCCGGACAGCTGGCCCAGTATCCGGACACAACAATAACAACGCAATTGTACATAAATTTCGACAGGCGAGCGACTTATAAGCTTCTCTTGCACTTGCAAAGTAGTCTGGCAATCGATTCCGAAAATATAACCTGGCATCGTGAAATAAAGCATAACAAATGACTGGGGTATGGTGGGGAAAGCGAGCGGCTGTTTTAAAAATGGTATAATTCTCACTTCTTTGTCTACGAACTTTTTCACTGATTTAAGGAAGGCATCCGTAGACATGCCGAAGCCGCAGTTTGCAAGCTCAATCAGTCAATCTGCAAACGACTTTCTTTCTTCATTTTTTATGCACCTATCAATGTAAAGCCGGCGGGGGGGGGAGGCAGGGCATGGGGTGGGGATTTGATTGTCTCTGTTGTCCCTGGGGTAGGGCATTTGACTGATCTTGTTCTCCCGGGGGAGGGGATATTTAAATCTTTCTTCGCCCGACGTGGAGATATTTGACTGCCGACTCGGACGAAAAAGACTGAGACCGAACATATGTTTCCCCGCTTCCACGCTTCACGCATGCGCCGTACGGTTTGAGAAAGATCAGGAATTCATGGAGGCCAATGAGAACAAGCGAAGGCTGAGTGGATTTCACTGTTTTGTCTTCAAATTTCGTTTGTTTTAGCGTGTTTTTGATCAATTGAACCTCTTAATATACTGTGGTATCAAAGTAAACGGAAGTAAAGAGAAACCAAGTCAATTTTTGCAAGTACAATTGATTAGTGTATGGCTCATTCGCTACAATCACTGTAAACTTATAAAAGTGACTTTCTTTGTACCCTTTACTAAGAACTTTCTCCTAAAGGTTTATGTATTCTACGCAGAGTAACACGGATTATGGTTAAAACGTATAATTGCAGCTGTAACAGGAACATGTATCTTTGGTGATGCAGAACGTTTATAAAAGATTGCAGAGTTTTATTTGGAGATATTTTTATTGTACCTTTCTTAGGTTCTGCCTTGGGATTGACAGCAATGTGCAGCCTGGGATGGGGAAATTTGGTTGCATTTGACTGGAATGATTTGCCCGTGGGCAGGGAATTTGATTGCAAATTTTTGAAAAAAGTCAAATCCCCACCCTATGCCCTGCCTCCCCCCCCCCGCCGGCATTACATTGATAGGTGCATTATTTAAAGAAAAGCTTCGGGAAGGGACCTCAACCCGACGGTCAAAGGTCACTCTCCTATTTAGTCTGACCTGCAGTGTTGATTTCTTCATGCTCAGTCCCCACAACGAGCCTGCTTTTCTAGCACTAATTCCTCCTTCTTTCACATCTCTCAATCCCTTTGTGACATTTTTTAGACCATTGCAACCCCATTCTAGCAGTCCCAACTGGGGAAAGTATGAGAATTCCAGGTTCAACTGAGACGCTTTCAGTTATATATAGAAAATGCAGTCACGCGAAACAAGCCGTGCGCACGAAATCAAGTCGACTCTGAATGAGTGAAGAAAATTTCCGTACGGAGTTGAGTAGAGTTACATTTTACGACTATATCATATATCCTAAGCTTTAATTATAGTTACTGATATGAAATAAATCTTATCCGGAGAATGTACACAACTAATTCATCGATTCTGTACAGCAAGGAAAAAACTGTCCGGATACTGGGCACATGACATCAAAACTTAGTGAATGTTTCTGGCTTCCGTTATTCCAAACAAATCGAATTTCAAGAAGAATTAATAAACTTTCTGAAAACCTGACTTCCTTAAGTATCTTCACTTTAAAAATAAAACAGTTTCTTTGAAAATATCACACATTACCCTCCCTTTTCTGAGCAGCACTAACTTTACCGCGTAAATATTAGCCATGAAAAGTTTACTCACCTGAACAGAACGGCGTCTTCTGCGACTGTTTCGCAAGCTTTCAAATCGCCAACACTTTCATATTAAAGCTGAAATGTTCAGCTTTCATTCGAAATACTTTGTTTACCGATAACTGAAAAGGGCTCCTCAAAAATTGAGTTCTTGTTTCAAGTGTCCGGATACTGGTACCGTCCGGATACTGGGCAACATACTGTACAAGTTTTGAAACGCAAATTTCCCTCTGTACACAAGCCCCTTCAAAAATAAGTCCCCCAAAAAGGGCCTTTGAAAAATATAAGCTCCGGGGCTTATTTTCGGAATTTTACGGTATTCTTACAAGGAAGCTACCTGGCGAAAAAATTCCTGAACTGACAAAAATATTTTTCATTGCCTATAATGCTGGAAAAAAATCTTACACAGTTGTATGTCTGGGAAAAAATGCTATCATCAGAGGTTTGGAAAATTGTTTCGTTTTCTGACTGAACTTTTTGTTTTTTAAGTTAAGAGGGGGAATAGAAACGAGACAAAAGAACAATAGATCCTGACACCACAGCTAAATCTGATTATTGATCTAACATTTTCAGATGTTCCATTCACTTTTGTAGTTAATCAGCGGGGGTCTCGTCAATTTTTGCCAGTTTATCGACCTCAACACCCGCAAAACACACACATCAAGTTATTTTTCACAGTTTTTATTTCAGTTTTGGGTCACATCCAGTAAAATGTTTATGCTGCTTCGCCTTCCTCCTCTTCTTCTTCATCAAATTCTCCTTCCTCTTCAGCAGTGGCATCTTGATACTGTTGATACTCGGACACAAGGTCATTCATGTTGGACTCGGCCTTAAAAGCAACAAAAAAAGAGCGTTTCACAAACACTGTAACATACAAAGAGTACATAAAAACGGCCTAAAATAGAAAACTGAACCAATTCTACTCAGTTTTAAGTGAAGGGATGGGTGTATACACGCCTCTCGTTTAGCTTTACGGCAAAACACTTTCCCGCCATCCGTTAACGTCTGCTGTTTTCAACGCCATAAGTACTTTTTTGTCAGGTTCATAAACAAAGAAAGCGCTGAACAAAAAAGCTGACCTCGGATACATTAACGAAGTTAGGACCTCCGATTTAAAAAGAGACAGGCTAAAGTTTTGATTCAAAATCTTCGTGCAAGTTTAAAATAGTTTTGATGCAGCTCATTGATTCGTAAAGTTTTTAGGACCACTATATTCTTCTCACAAAATATTACAACTTAGGCATTGGCTGGAAAAGCTGTAAAGTGAATTTATATCCATCACGCATAAGGTACACACCTCAGTGAACTCCATCTCATCCATACCCTCTCCTGTGTACCAATGCAAGAAAGCTTTGCGCCGAAACATAGCAGTGAACTGCTCACTGATGCGCTTGAACAGTTCCTGGATAGCGGTGCTGTTACCCACAAAGGTGGCAGACATCTTCAAGCCGCGAGGAGGGATATCGCACACTGCAGTCTTGACGTTGTTAGGGATCCATTCCACAAAGTAGGAGCTGTTCTTGTTTTGTACATTCAGCATCTGTTCGTCGACCTCCTTCATGGACATGCGGCCACGGAACATGGCAGCGACAGTCAGGTATCTGCCATGGCGAGGATCACAGGCTGCCATCATGTTTTTGGCATCGAACATCTGCTGAGTTAACTCAGGAACTGTGAGTGCACGGTACTGTTGGGAACCGCGGCTGGTCAGTGGAGCAAATCCAGGCATAAAGAAGTGAAGACGAGGGAATGGAACCATATTCACAGCTAGTTTTCTCAAATCAGCGTTGAGCTAGAACATGATGAAACAACAGGAAAAAAGTTGAAGTGATCGTAAATGTTTAGCATCATTGCATTTAATATAATAGGCTTGGCCTTCGAAAGGGTGTTCAAGCTAACTTGGAAATCAAACGTTTGGACATAAAACTTGCTGACCTTTGACTTGTATATAAAACATAACAGAGTCAAGCAGACAAAAACGTTAGCTTGTTCTTGAGTTGCAACATTTCTGACACTGTGCATAAATTTATGTCTTTGGGACGTATAAAAAAACAGTAATTTCACTGCTATAAGGAATTTTATTTCTGTGGACCATATTACCCTATTTAACTATTGTTTCTTTTTTAAAAAAAGATAAAAAGTTTTAAGTAAACCTGGCCGGGAAATCGTAGACAAGTCGTTACACCGCTCATTGTGGCGGAAACAAGATGGTTTAAGTCGCCATATGTTGGTGTTGTGAGCTTCAGAGTCCGAAAGCAGATATCGTAAAGGGCCTCGTTGTCGATGCAGTACGTCTCATCCGTGTTTTCAACCAACTGATGAACCGACAAGGTGGCATTATAGGGTTCAACGACGGTGTCTGACACTTTAGGGGAAGGAACAACGCTAAACGTGTTCATAATACGGTCGGGGTATTCCTCACGGATCTTTGAAATCAAAAGAGTCCCCATTCCTGAGCCCGTACCACCTCCTAGAGAGTGTGTGAGCTGAAAACCTTGCAAACAATCACAGCTTTCCGCTTCTTTTCGAACAACGTCAAGTACAGAATCTACGAGCTCGGCGCCTTCTGTGTAATGGCCTTTCGCCCAGTTATTACCAGCACCACTTTGTCCTGCATTGTAAAAACAAAAACAAAAAAAGAAAACAACGAGCGATAAGCTCTGGCTTTGCTACTCTGGTTACAGGATTTCTTAGTTTGTGGAAAGGTTCACATGAGAAGCAATTCATACACCCCCCCGTCTTGGAGCGTGGTGATCAGTTTTACTTTCTTTCTCCTCTTCTTCACGTTTCCTTATGATCATCGTGTAAAACAGGTTGAACGACACAGGAACATTACTAGGTTTTTTTGTACGTCAGTTTCTTTTTTCGCAAACTACGTTAAGTATTTACGCTTTTAGCCGACATTTTCGCAAGGAAAAGTCTGGAAAAGTTTCAAATACACAGAAGTTGAATAACTTGTGTAAATCAGTTTTTTTCTCTTAAATGTATAAACTTATTGACGCGCAGTTGTTACTATGAGAAAAAAGTCGACGATAAGATCCAGCTTACTTTAGAATCTGACAGTTCAACAGGTTGGACTTTGCACACGGACGTTTGTGGGTGAGAGAATTAAGCTCATTATTTCAAAGAGGTCTGTTCGTGCGTTGTCTGATCGGTGACTTTGATATTTTGTTGACTAGTATACACATCTGCTCGAGACAAAATATTATCCAAGGCCTAAACTAACCCATATCTTTAAAACTAGCTGACTTACCGAAAACAAAATTATCAGGTCTGAAAATTTGTCCGAAAGGTCCAGAGCGAACAGAGTCCATTGTTCCGGGTTCTAGGTCGACCAAAACTGCTCGCGGTACATATTTTCCTCCTAACATTGAACAAATAAACCCGTACAAACATCAGCACACTGAAATTTTATTGCCGTGCAAAGGCATGTCAGACTGAATCAAGCTTTTTACTTTATTAAGCTTACATGTAAATACTTACCGGTTGCCTCATTGTAGTAAACATTTATTCTTTCTAACTGGAGGTCAGAGTCACCATGATAGGTACCGGTAGGATCAATTCCGTGTTCGTCCGAGATGACTTCCCAAAACTGAGGAATAACGATGAAATGGTTGGGCAATCAGCCACGACAGCAAACGACAATTTCGCACATCAAAAGTGAAGCAAAAGTTCCAGAAATTCACTTCAACATAACTTACCTTAGCGCCAATTTGGTTTCCGCACTGACCTGCTTGTAAATGAACAATTTCACGCATTCTTTCGGCAGAAAACAGCGAAACTCTCAAGGAGAAAAACAACTACAAACCGACTTCTGAAAAATCTACTTCGAAACTGAAAAAGTAGCGCGATCTGTTGGCGATAAAACAGATCGTTGCTCGCGTCATAAATATCCTCGTGTCCTTTCAAAACAGCGGCATCTGATTGGTCGAATTGATGTCGAGGTAAATTATTCATTAATTGCTGGAATAATTACAGAAAAACTGAAATCGCATTATCTGCTAGTCACGCGATTTTTAACGGTGAAAAGTGCGCATTTTTGAGAATTTAAGAGCAAAATTTGAAGTCACTTTCGCTGTTATTTTGTGCAAGGCTTGTTTCAATGGATACAACTGAAGTGGGAAGCTCATTTGCTTTTATTTGATTGGTCAAGTCGAGGTTGATAATTAAATAATATATGAAAATTGTTCGCCCAACAATTTTCATATATTATGCAAGAGCTTTACATTGAGCAGCATCCTAATAGTCAAAAGACCGGAGCGCGACTTAATTGTTGTTTTGAGAGGCTTCCCTATAATTTCACTTGGTAAACACTAGCTAGTTTGTGACAAGTCTGAAATAATTTATGCAGGCTAAAAGGTACTCATTTTATATCTAAAAACAAGAATCGCCGAAAGGCGATTTTTAACTGGGCTGCAAAGGGGCTATTTTTTCTGAAGGGAGGGGGGCGGCTATACACACTCAGGCTACCATAAAACCTTGTCGGCAACCGTTGCATGCGACAGAACCTCATGTGAGACTGAAACATAAACTCATTCAGAATATTGTACCCTTTTGAAAGACTTTCCTAACCAAAAAAAGAGTACCATTTTTAAGTGGGGGCTGTATAATAACTTTTAAATTCCACCATTATGAATAAAAATAAACAAGTTAGCCATTAATTCTAAGCAGGAAACAATTTGCGTTATTTCCACGTACCCCTCCCCCAATCCCTCTGTGCTCCAAATATAGCGTGACAGTATAACGTGACTAATTTGACGTAACTGGAAATTCCCAAAATTGTTGTCGTTCGACGAGCATAAAATGCGACAGACTGAGCTGATTTACACTAGACAGAAATATTGTATTGTATGAAAACCAGAAGTATACTAAAACAGACAGTTAACTGCCCGTTGATCCCGCCTGATCCAGGGGCCTCACTGACTGCACGGAGACTTTACTGCGCTTTTCACAAACATGCGAACTCTAAAGTTCAAAAGCCACCTTCACAATTGTGTTTATTGCTACCGTCAATCATAATTACGATCACAAGCAACGAACCTTGAAACAGAGAAACACACAAAACGGATCGAAATCCACAAATCACAAACCATGACCTTTTGAACCCGTGAAGTAGAGTTTTGTTTCCTAAGAGGTCCGTTAAGATGATTGACAGCAGCGAAAAACGCAATCGTCGGTTGGCTTCTGAACTTCGGAATTCGCATGTTTGTGAAAAGTGCGATCCTAATTTGCGGTCCACAGTCTACAAGAAAACGCACTATTTTTTCCACAAGAAGAAAAATATTCAGTTTTAAGATTTTCCTCATGGTATTTTTCTCTAACTTAAAGGAATAAAATCCTTTGCATTTTGAGATCTAAAAAAGTTTAAAGACTTCTCGCTCGCATGTTGCGTTCACCAGCACGCACTTCAAACAATGTAAATAGATGAAACGATCGATAACATATTTTTTACCTGATACCGATGCGAGTTAAAAATTCGCTCCAGTTCTGTTTGTCTCAGCCAAGACGAACTTTTCTTCATGGAAGATAACTATGCCGCTTTATAACTCGTCCGAAGTTTTTGTGCCAGCTAAACAATATGGAAACACTATTCACAGTGACTCCTTGGATATTAAAAAGACTGAACGTGACGCACTATTATGCCTTTGTTTACTTCTGATCACATCTTCAAGCGAAGTCTCTCTTTTCAAGCGATTCATCTCAATGCACAATAATTGACCCTTATATTAGTTAAAACCCTATGGTTCATTTATATTAATGCTGTTTTTGCCCCTCACATTGACTGTGTTCGTTCGTATTCAAAACACCTTTACGAAAATAAAGGTCGTATAAGTCACGTGTGTTATGTTTCGAGATAAATGGATTATACGCTTTTTTAAGTTTCCATTTTGCGGTGACTTCAGTTAACATCTTCATAAAATGGTAAAAGAAATATCAAGAAACATCACGAGAGCTAAAAAACTTTCAAAGGCATGTTTCTGAAACTCGCTAATGCTGACATCAATATAGCGTGCTTGCTGAATGGGCGAAAACACAGAATTGTGATCACAAGATCATGTACAAATTTAATGACAAAAGCTTTAAATACACAACAACTCTCTTTGGGGTTCTCTGGGTCTTTATTGCCTAGACCATCGCGCGATACCCTCAGGGAGGGAGGGATGGGACAAGAAAAGCTTACAATCGTGTTCAACGCATTAGCTGGCTAGAATCGCATAATGATTCACACGTGGCAGCAACTTACATATATACATGGGCTTGGCGCTGAACTTCCGTCACATGTATTTAATCCTGATAAACAGGTTTATCACTCACTAAATACACAACAACTCTCTTTGGGGTTCTCTGGGTCTTTATTGCCTAGACCATCGCGCGATACCCTCCAAACCCCCAAGGAGAGAAAAGGGGAGTTAGTGAGTGATACCCTGGCTCATCTGTTTAACAGCCTCTAATTTGTAGCGTAGTGAATGGTCTAAGTAACGCTCATATGCAGTCGATTTCCAGTCGCCTTGCAGCTTAATATAATCGCTAGGCACGCCGCAGTGCAAGGCAAACGAAGCACCCCCTCGCCTGAAGGAGTGTCCAGAGAAACGCGAGCTATCGTAGCCGCAGAGATCCAGTGTTCGTTTCAGTTTAGTTGTGAATGTGGTATAAGTCAGTGTTTTAAGGACACCGTCCTCTAGGTAAGTAAAAGCAGGTGCTGAAGCCGATTCGTTACTTCGATAAACACCGGCAAGCTTGAAAGCGCGAGTTACCGCTGACCAAGGACACAAGGAGGAGTGAGCAATCTTCGGAACTGGAACCAGGAGAGTGCGATCTCGGTATTGGATCGTTTTAGACCAACGAACAACAAGAATGATGCCCCAAGGGAACAATCGAACATCGCATTTCCGCAGGTGGCGCTTGGTGTCAAATTCCGTGGTGGAAGGTGGCAGTAAGTTTGACTTACGAAAGAAGGAGAAAAATGCGACCAAACATGCCGCCCAAAAGGTGGCGTCAAACGAAGAGTCAAGATGTAAATGGCCTTGCATTTTGTGAAGAACATCGGGTGTAATAGGTAGCTTTTGCGTCACACGTTCTCCATTAATTCGCTTTATGCCTCTCATGAGAAGAGTTTTCTGATGCTTGAATAAGGGGTCTTCAAGAGGGTTAGGGTAGCCATACTGTAGGTGCAAAAGACGGACAACGTTGAGATAATTGGGAATGCTGCGAGTAGAGAGTGTTCGGGCGAGGAAGACAATGTAACGGAGGAGGTGAATAGCGCGACAGGGAACTGGGGTGTAGCCGAAGAAGAGACAGAAGCGAAGGTATGCTCGTAACTGCGACTTATAACTTGCTGCTGTGGATTTGGCAAAGGCATGGTTGCGGTACATTCTCAGTTCTTCCTGAAGTAGCTGCTCCTGAGTATGGACTGCACCTGCCAGGGGAGAGAAGAGAAGGCTGACTGTGAAACCTGAGCTCGTTGGCGGTCGAACGCAAGAAGGAGGGTGTGGAAAAGTTCCTTTAGGGTTCTGCAGAAGGCAGGGTCATGAAGGCGTGAGATGGCATCGGCAACGGTGTTAGCCTTTGAAGGGATGTAACGAGCGGTGATTCGAAAATTGTTAGTAGCAGAGAGCCAAAATATGGAGCGTAACCATTGCATAACTTTGGGGTTGCGACTTGTGCCTTTGTTTAACGCGCTGATTGTCGTGTGGTTATCAGTGTGGACAACAATCCATTTGTCACGCAAGTACCATTTCCAGCGGTGTAACGCTAGGAAAACTGTAAAGGTTTCTTTGAGGTTGATATGCGCGTCTGTGAGATCAGGATGATCAGTAGCCCAGTGGGTGTAAAACCAATCACCCTGAAAGAACCCTCCTCCTCCGATAGGACAAGCATCGGTAGAGAATTCTTCCAAAGCGGTTGGTGTTGAAGAAACAAAGAACGCTTTGCCATTAAAGACGCTTAGAAAGCTCGCCCACCATAATAAATCGGCTCTGAGGGAGGTGTTAATGCGCACATGGTGATGTGGACGTGATAAAGTGTTCGTGACATCGATTATTCGCCGCAGGAATGTCCGGCCTCCGAAAACTACACGCGCTGCAAAGTTTAATTTTCCTACGAGGCTCTGCAATTCTCGCTTTGTGATTGATCGCTTGAGTAAGGTATCGCTTAATAACTGTCGAAGTTCGCATAGCTTGCTGTCGGGCAAACAAAGTTGCCTAAGCACTGTGTCGATCTCAATTCCTAAGAAAGTTAGTCGCTGCGTGGGAGCGACTGCCTTCTCCCAGTTTATGTTAAAACCAAGTTCGGTCAAAAGTTTAATAAGTTCGTAATAGGCCAATTCGCACTCGTGCTTGGTATCGCCAATTACAAGAAAATCATCAAGATAGGCGAGGATTGTCCGAAATCCCCGGCGGGCCATCATGCGCGTAACAGCTTGTGTTAATCTGTGAAACACCTCCGGTGATTTCGAGGCTCCGAAGGGTAGTTTATTATCGTACAAATACGTGACATGTTGATCTCCTTGAAACTGCCACGCTAGTCCAGTCGCGCGGTGGTTAGAAGGGTGGATTGGGACGTGGCGATAGGCACTCTTCAGGTCAATTTTTGCGAGGTAGGAGTTAGGTTTTATCTGTGATACAGCTTGTTCTACTGTTACATAAGAAAAGTGTTGCGTTGTGGCATAGGAGTTTACATTGGAAAACTGCGGTCTGCTGCAATCGTGTATGAGCCGGATTTTATCAGTGTCTGGTTTTGGGATAGCCCCAAGGGCACTAATGATAGTCGGCTTCACGTGTGTTACTACGTAATTGCCTTTGCTAATTTCCTCGCGGATTTGGTTTTCTACTTTGTCTCGTACATCGCTTGCGGTCGCCGATTTGTAGTTGTTAGTTTCCGCCGGTGTCAAAACGCTATCGCTAGGAATAATTTCAAAGCCGTTTGTGATTCCGTTAATTATAAAGTCCCTGTCACGGTCGGTTTCGAGGTTGTCTATCCAGGCCTGTCGGTTAAGTGGGGATGTTATCATGGCTTGTGGGTCTATTAGAAGTCACGCTGTGGGCGCTGTTGGATGTTCGTGCTGTGGATGACGCTGGTTGCAATTTGGCACCAAGCAAACATGCTGAAAGCGGCAGTTTGGCCAAAGGCATCCCGTTAACGAATTAAATTGGCGGCAAATTGGAGCTGTGGGTGAGGTTTGTGGTTGGCGGTTAAGGCGTGGGGGAAATCTCTGTGCGTTGGGTGAGGTTGCAGCTGGGGTCTGCGAAGGACGGCGTTTAATCAGAAATCTGGTATGAAGGTGCTGCGAGTTGCTCCCCCATCGAAAGCCATATTCGCACTGTAATTTGCGATACTCGTTATCATACGCCAAAGCCGAGGCGAGTGTATGGGACTCGAGGAGTTCAGCAAATTTTATTGTGTAAGCCAGGTAATCAGCGATGGCGGTAGTGGTTGCTGACAGTTTTCCTGTTCGAAGGAGCTCGTGCATAATTCGCGAGTTTGCGGCGACCCACATAGAAAGGGTGACATGTTCTAATTTTGGTTTTCCCCTCGCTGAGCGAATTACAATTTTTGCCCCACTAGAGTTATTTCCAATTTCTTGCTCTTCTTCGCGATTGTCATAAGTTCCCAGGGTTACAAAGTCGGGTATTAACAGAGGCTTCTCACCTTGTTTAGCGCTTATTCCCTTTTGCTGTAGGCCAAGAAACACGTGCGGGTCGTTATCTAGTCGGGGAAGAGTGGACGTGTTTAACGCTGGTGGTTTTGCCGAGGAAAAGTCGGTCGATCCTAGGGCCAGGAGAGATTCGTCCAGCGAGCCTGCACTTTCAATTTTCTTCAGAATTTCTTCCAAACCTCCATCGCTCGCTAGTGATTTTGTAGTGATTGGGTCGCTCGCACCCGTAGCATCTCCTGGCGAGGGTTTTTCGTTGACATCCTTTCGCAACTTTTTCAGTGCCGCTTCCAGAACGCGTTTCTGCCCTATGCTCAGCCCCAATTTCTCTAAATCCGTCGGAGTGAGGAGCTGTAGGGCTTCCTCGGTATCGAGATCCTCTTTCTTGAGGATATCCACACTCGTTTCTGTTAGTTTAGTAGCCGTACACCACGTGTCAAAGTTAAAGCTCGCCATAATTATTCGCACAGACAGACAAGAAAAGCTTACAATCGTGTTCAACGCATTAGCTGGCTAGAATCGCATAATGATTCACACGTGGCAGCAACTTACATATATACATGGGCTTGGCGCTGAACTTCCGTCACATGTATTTAATCCTGATAAACAGGTTTATCACTCACAGCAAGATACAAATACCAACAAAAGCAAACCCCCTGAAACCTCGACGTGCGCTACACTTGTATGCTCTTCTCAGTCACCAAACCTTGTCATTAAAGCTCCTATTTTCCTCAAGTCGCTCTCTGTGAAGCTCCCGGATGGGATGTCCCGGTGAAGCTTTAAACTTGTGTGCGAAATTCTCAGAGTGCCTGTTTTTGTCCGTGTCTTCTTTATCCTCAGTATCCGAAATTTAGACCTCCAAAGTGGCGTGTGTTGCATTAAATAGAAGGAAATATTTAAAGGAAAAGCCAGTCTTCTAACATGGCAAAGTTGTCACGTCCCTCGCTCATGGACGTGCGTAGTGCCATGATCGGCAACTGAGTTGTTCGCTTCACTGACTGCGAAAGCTTACAATCAAGTCTTCAGCCATAGTGTCGTCAACTGGTGAAATACCTTGCTCATAAATTGTCCTTCTTAATTGCTCCTGTATTACATCGATCGATAATTCTCTCTTTGAGTTCACGAAGCGGCCACGGCGTTCCAAAACGTCCAAAACTGACGCTCACAGTCATCTTTTAGTGTGAACCTACCGTGAACGGCGTGTCGGTTTAAATGCAACGCGAGCATTTCTCTGAGTTTCCCAGCGCCAACATCATCTAACTGACTTAAACTCGAACAATAAAAACATTATAGAGTGACTCCCATGATCGAATCGCTTCGAACAACGCAAATAGCTTTCTTCAGGTTCGCAACGCTTTGTGGGTTTTTCAGGGGGGGCGGAGATGAGGTACAAAAAGTATCCGTGTAAGGCTCCGTGCAAGAGAAACTCATATGAAACAATTTATGAGAACATCGTTTCTCGGTACCAGACCCTCGTGCCTCCCCTCCCCCGGGAGGCCGTTTTTTGCCGCAGACGACCGAAAGCCCATTTTATGACTGGGCGCACAGGCAGCCCAGTAATTATTCGACGTAGTAGTTCCTTTGTAGTCTTTTCCACATGTTTTATTGTTGCTGCTGCTGTTCTAACAATTGTTGTTGATTTAACAATTTATCGGCAGACCGTGAAGAAAAGTACTCAAGAATGGACGAATGGGTTATTTGCTATAAAAACAAAAAAAAATCTTCCGTGTCCATAGCGTAAAGACACTCCACGCCGCCCCCCCCCCCAAAAAAAACAAAAACAAAAATATATTTCAATAAATACTACAACTTTATTGTGAACAACATCGTATTGACAAGAGTAACTACTTTGTCGCTTAGAAAAAGTACTTAATAAGATGTAGGGCTCCACTCGAAGCGGCTAAAGTAAGGCAAGTTCTCTCTACCTATACCATTGAACTGTTTAGCTTTGAGGTTACATAAAACCATTACCATCGCCTCTCATCGTTCACAGCCGCAAGTGACATCTTCTCAAAACGTTCCTTGCGCCGGCGAGAGGTGAAAGGCGGCTGTATTCACGGGCTAGGCCAATTTCAGACGTCGAGTTTTATGATTTCGGGAAAAAGGTACATTTCTACCTCATTTGAATTGGATGCCGGCGGTATATGTAAAGTTTGACATCTAAAACATTAATCCATTCTCTTGATGGACATATGCTTCTGAGATCTCTCATATTTTCACGAAATCGATATAACTTAATAGAGCAGGAAAAAGTACTCACTAGAATGTTCAGTCACCCGTTAATGAAGTGAATAAAAATGCCGATCGAAAAAATTGCAAGTCAATTTTCGTGAACGAAAGGGGACTCAAGAAAACCACTTCAGTGGCAAGAAAATTAACACAAGCAATATGTTCCAATCAAAACCGCCTCTTTGTCGTCGCGAAAACCCTCATTAGAAAAACCTTTTCATAAGTCTTAGCCGTGCTTTAGTTTCGGTCCTAAATGGTTCGTAACTTCAACAATGGCGCATGAGTCCCGCCTTTCTTTCTAATATGGCGTCTTTAGACTGTCAAAATGTGTGTGATGGGTCGTCAACGTAAACATCACTGCATGTTCTTGAAACGGCTTGCTCCTTTCCAGTCTCTCTTTGAGGATTCGCGACGCTTTGAGTTTGTTAAACCATCATCCCTGAAGTGGCTGGCTAGAGAAAGCTTGTTAAGGCAGGAAATGGATTCTGCTTACTGACCACTAACTTCTGATGTTGATGGGATATATAGCCTTTGATGTAACCCTGAGACAAAGAAGAATGTTACTAATATTAACTTTACAACAAGGACCCCCGCACGCCCACAAAAGAAAGAAACAAACATACATCTCAAAACTCAAACGAGTGCGCTTGAGAACAAAAAAGATCGAGGAAGCTCTCCAAATACATCTCTTAGCCAGACCACTTCTAGCACATCTACCAGGAACCGACACCTTCCAAACAAATATTCCGTCAACACGAATTTACTAGCCTATGTAGGCTAGAATTTACGGGTTCCGTGTGAAATGAAGGACGAGTGGATCATGTGGATTGTAACAGCTCAGTCGGTAGAGCGCAGAGCGAGAGGTCGAGGTTCGCGTGGCTTGGATGACCACGTAAAACGGCGGTAAAAATAATGTCCTCAATTTGTACTTTCGTGCTAATTACATGCATACCGAATGTAGAAACGTCTGGTTTGAAATCTCTCGAAAGATGACGCCCACCTACCCACCTCATATATAAGATTCGCCACTATGCATTCAACTTCAATAACGTCTACATCGTCAACCTACAATCATATTAAACATACAGTGAAGTTAGAATAGAATAACCATCATGGTCCACTAGATTTCTTTGCCATGCTTCTTCAACCCCTTCACAGCAACAATTATAATGGCCGTTTTTATACTAGAGGACCTTAAACACGTCTGGACGAGTTAAGTACGATGGCGGGAATGCGTTAGACTACGATCAGTCTCTCTTTTTTCTAGGCCCGTCGAGCAAAACGCCCGAGACACGCAAATGACCACGCGCGTGACTGACGGCGCGAGACGGGAGAGGCACGTTTCTCGCGTCTCGCGGCTTCGCCGCTCAACGCTCGGGCGCGCGTGCACTCCCCTTACTAAATCTGAAGAAAAAGAGAGACTGTTCGCAGTCTAGGAATGCGTCTCGTCTTTACACTCAACAGCTCAAAATTCTGAGACCACAAAGACGTCTATTAAGAGCGTTGATCAGACGCACTTAAATTCAGACGACGCTCAGTTTGTCTGACTTTTAATACGTCTGCTTTATTTCCCGTTTTTCCCGCCTTGGACTGCAAAACAGTCGTGCTTTTTTTTCTCGAAATCGCTCTTTGCAAGGCTTAAGACGCGACATTTTCGCGCGAAGAACGCAAGCCTCATACGCACGTTTCCACATTCCCTCTAGGCCTTTCGTTTTACGACAGCTTGCATTCGAATAAGGAACCAAACGCAAAAATACGGTTATTTCGCGGTCTCATCGTCTAGACGGCAAATAATGTGCTCTTCCAACATCATAAATGAGTTATTACAGTTATTACAGTTGTTATGCAAACCAACAGAAAGGTCCCTGTATGACAAACTCAGCTCTTAGCGACCCCTTTAAAATGGCTTTATTTACCTTCATTCCTTTAAGAGCAACAACATACGCATCTAAGGGTAACTGATGAGTTTTTAAAAGAAGACTCCTGAAACAAAAGAAGTTGGAAATGCTTTTCATTAGCGTAAATGTTCCTATAATTTAATGTCTAAAAGATAATTGAGAAATACGTATTTATAGCCAGGACCTTTGCCATAGTCTGCTTCATTTCGACATATAAAGTAACAACAAACTGACCAAGAGACAAAATAAATCCGACCGATTTTCCTCGCTTAGAATAATGTCGCCCTTTCAGAGAAATAGCTAAAAACAGAAGATGATGGAGGGTGATTGGGGCTGTTGGCTCTTGCGGAAAAACTACATGAACTTACACTTTTTTGAATAAATTCCTATACGTAATGATCTTCAACTTCTCTAGGATAAGGTAAACACCACACTGTATGAAGAAGACCTGGAAAATAGTAATCAATGCTAGACATGAAGCATAACACAGAAATAACTTGCACACAAACCTACAGTAATGCTAGCTTAACAGTTGTTAGCGCCGCATTCATCCCTCACAAGTGCATGCTGTATTCCGGCTCATTACTACAACGTCAGTGATTACCATAACTGGAGCTCTTCAAAATAAATTAGATTCTTCTTAGAAACGTCTAACAGATGTTTGAAGACCTTAAATTTTAGCATAATAAAGCGTAATTAAAGTAAAGACTTCCTACCCGCGCTGACTTTAATTTATTTGGATAAAACTAAAAACTAATGTTTTAAAATTTTCGCACTTCTTTAGAATAGTAAAGTCATGGAACTCTCTGCCTCTACATTTAAGAAAAACTGAATCTTTAGACGACTATAAGAATTGCCTGAAATCCTTTCTACACATGAAGGATATTTCTACATTCTTTTAATTTATTTTTCTTACTAGTTTAATTATATTCTAGTTTAATATTGCACATGATTGCCACTTGTCTAGGTATTTATGATTTTTTCTTTTAGTTGTTTTTTATTTCTTATTTATTGTGAATTTAGGTAGCCCTCCAATGAGGGAAGTTGTTTCCTGTTTAGGGCTTTCCGGTCAATACTAAGTGTGTATTTTGTATTGGCAAACTATTAAAGAATTAAAGAAAAAAAAGTGTCTAACTACAAACACGCTTTGTCAGTGCAAAAGAGACATGTCTCAGTACCTGTTGTCTATCCAACGTCTCATTTAAAAGTGCAAGATTGCCCATTCTGAAAGTGAACGTAAGACACTCGTTGAAAATTAAACTTGCACAACGGGCGCTAATTTTTTCGCGTTTTGCAGGCAAGCATGAAGCGGACGTTGAGCGCTGGGAGGGTCAGTAGCTCTCCAGGCAAGGTCTGTGGTTGAAGAACATAGCAATGGATGATTCAACAAAAACAATGCGGATTGCCCCTAGCCCTTAAAACCAAAGAAGCTACTGCTTTAGCTTATAGAGGTCACTCTGAGCGCGAGAGAATGTCGCGCGTGTCTCGCGGTTCATGTCTGCTTCGTGTTAGCCTGAGAAAGTTCTGCTGACTACTGTAAGTTTATCTGCATACATGCAAATGCACTAAAAGCACTAGCAGAAACGGCAAAATTGACATGGTCCAGATTAGGGTTTAAACGTTAACCCTTTAAGTCCCAATAGTGACCCACATCAATTTTCTCCTAACAATATCCATACAATGTCAAGAGATTAGGTTATGAGAATTAATAAAATGATCACCGTAGAGAAAATTCCATGATCTTTTATCAAATTCTCTTAACTAATTCTTAAAGGAAATGTATGGAGATCAGTTTGGAGAATTTGTATGTGGATATTGGGGCTTAAAGGGTTAAACGTTAAAGACAATCTTCATACCTGACAGCTCTGACAACATCCAGAAACTGAGTCAAGTTGTATTTATACAGAAGTTGTTCGTTTGGCATATAACCCTAGACCAGACCACACAAGAAGTTATTACCAGACAGTTGAACTTACAATCTAACCGTACAACTTCATTGAAAATAATTAATGCTTAAAACAACAACAACAACGAAATATCTGCAGTTTAGTTTACTTACAATATTGTCACTGAAAATGACTTTTGATCGAACTTTGAAAGTGAGGAGTCAGTAAAGATTTTTTTTTTGCAAAAACCTGAAGAGGACAGAAGACAGCAAGGACACTGGGAAGGGCCCTGTACTAGGTATGGGTAAGAGAGGATATACGAAAGGGGTCCTTTTTTTTCAATAAAAGTGGTATACCGTAAAATTCCGAAAATAAGCCCCGGGGCTTATATTTTTCAAAGGCCCTTTTTGAGGGCCTTATTTTTGGAGGGGCTTATATTCGGAGGGGCTTATTTACGGAGGGAAATTTGCGTTTCAAAATCGATTGGGCTAGCGTGTAGTGGGAAGGAAATTTACCATTTTTGCTTTGTTTTACTTTGTATTCGAGGGCAAATTCCAAGTAAAAGCCCTCCCCAGGGGGCTTATATTCGGAGGGGCGATTTAACGGGGGGTTTTTGGCGTTACGATTTTGGGGGGCTTAGATTTGGAGCGGCTTATACATGGAGGGGCTATTTTCGGAATTTTACGGTATACATGTAAAAGGGTAAGAGGTTGGACCTTGGGGCAGAGACTCCCCATATAAAACTTTTTAGAGCGCCCTCGTTCTCCGGGTCTTTAGCCAGGTTCATTGACAGAAACAAAAATGGTCAAACAAAAGACAGTTGAGCCATTGACTTACCAGCAACATTTTCACAGGTATGAGATAAACTAAAATTGCCCTGCAAAACCCAAACAGTCATGAATTCAAAATATGATAGCTGGCAAAGAACCCATTGGGCGATTCCAGAAAATATCCATACCATACCACGGACGGCCTTAAGGATTTCCGAAGGGGAGGGGGGATTCACGATTATGGAATTCTGAAGGCATGGGGGGGTATTTACGATTTGAAATCCGAAGGTATGGGGGAATTCCACAGGTGGGATTTCTGGAGTAGAAAGTGTAGAGTAAGTTCCTGGAAAACACTATTGTTGTGGACTTTTGTAGTTCGTAAATAAACCACGAACGTATGACCGCGGAAGCAGAAGACAAGCATCGATAGATCAGACACGTGTTTACGCTCACAACTTATAGAAGTGAACAGTAAAACGTTGGTTTCACATTTACCTTGATGAATTTCTTGTCACGTGAATAAAAACTGAAAATGTATCTTTTAATACCGCTTGCAAATTTCTTGTTACTCCCGTCCGATAAAGAGTAAAAAAACTCGCACCAGTCCCTCACTTCCAAGGAACGCCTGTCAGATTAGAACGCTTTTCGTGCGCACTACATGACGTATAAAAGGACGCAACACGACTCGACGGTATATTTGACCGCCAAAAGATTTTAACAGTCTGTTTGAGCTAACAGCACAAGAAAACAAAGAGGAGTAAAATTACCTTAAGTGGTGTTTATTTTTATAGCCAAATTCGGACTTAAAAAGGAGTTTGCACGACCTGGCAACTAGCGTAGGTTTTTCTTGTCACTGAAGAGTAAAGCTTGTCACCTGGCGCCGCTAGATCACAGCCTTGAGGAGGCATAAATTCATGTTCGTTTGTTCGGCGTTGCTAAGTCGAAAATGTACTTCCAAAAAAACCCGGAAATTCTGAAGGGGAGGAGGGGTTCACGACTATGGAATTCTGAGGTCATGGGGGGGTAGCGCATTTTGGAATTTCCGAAGGCAAGGGGGGGTTAAAACATGGAAGCCGTCCGTGGTTGGGTATGGATATTTTCTGGAATTGCCCATTTGATCTGGATGGAGAGGAAAGATATCCACCGGAAAAAATGGACTGCAAAAAATCAATGGATCTTAAGGCTTAAATCCACTGCACAAGTCAATTCTCACTACGCCTCAACATCACAACTAGTCTGAACTTAAATAATGATGAAATAACAGTATTATTTTCATTGAAAAAAAAAAACACTATAAAAAATAACCCTTGTTGTAACAAGAACTTACTATCACAAAGAACACTACATTAAATTTCGCACAAAAATAATTTTTATTTCTTTTATTGTGTGAAAAAGCGCATTCACGGCTTATCCTTACCTTTTATTTTTACTGGATGATCTGTGACAGCGTTGAAATGCAAATGTTAAGAATTCATCAGCTAAAAGAGAGGTAAACACAAACTTGAGTCCACAAAAATGAGAATACATTTATATTGAAGTACTTAGTGCCCAGGCATAAAAAAAGAGAAGATCAAGTGCTTTCACCAATGTTTGAAAAGCGGGGGAGAGCCTGTGTTAAGTCTAATATCTGAGTGATCAGATAATTTGAGGAGACTTATTATTGTCCAGTACCTGTCAACGTCAATAACTTTATATTACTGCTCTTAACCCTTGAAGCCCTAAGAGTGATCAGCATAAAATTTCTCCTTATCATGTCAATGCTTTAGAAAACATAGTGGTCATAAGAATTGAGCATATGATCAAGAAAGATGAGTCTAATTGATATTTCAACAAATTCTCCCCAGTACTTCTATTGAATTGTATAGGGACAGTAAATGAGAATCTCAATTTTAATATCAGGGTTTAAAGGGTAAACACTATGAATTATGTACCATCACAAGATCATATTTTTTCATAACAGGGGGGTATAAGGAGGGTCTGGAAACCTCACAACCATGCAGAAAAATGTCAAAACCACCATACCACTCAAAATTTACGCAAACTTGCAGCAAAAATAACTCAAGACTGCATAACCGCAAACCTTACACATCTCTCATTCAGTGTACATTTGCTCTTATACCACCAGTGACAGTTCAAAAGCTTTAAACTAGTACAAATAGAGATTTTGTTGCAATAGCCTTGGTTAGAGAGAAACAAGGGGCTGACTTAAAGATTTAATTTTGGGGTGATTTTTTATCATAATAATCTAGAAGAGTTTCCTCAAAGGTATAGTTGATGACATACAGCTGTACTGTGCAGAGCAAATTCAAAACTGTTATAAATCATTCTAATATCTCACCAGCTTTGAAATCACTATCAAACATAGCTTTCCTTCCAACAAAATATCTAGTAAAGGTACAGGAAACAAAAAGAATATTTTTCAACATAACCTAAACAAAACCATTAAAATGTAACCCTCACAATCCCCATAATGATACCATTTTTATCAGATAAATGAGATTGGGGAGGAGCGTCCCATGACAAGACAAAAACAGCTGCGAGGGAGACTAAAATGAGACTGAACTAAAGCCGATGTTGGATAAAGTATTTCCTTATACCAAAAGGTACAGAATGTACATGTTTTGTAACAGTACTAACTTAAAAACAAACATTTCTAGTAAAGTTGACCCAGTACACCAAAAACGTACCACACTGGACAGCAAATCCCTGACTTAGATGTAGAGTACTACTTTATTATTAATTTTAATGACAATATTTTTCAGTTTTTAATTGGTTTAATATCACCCCTGGCTAATTCTTTGTAACCCGCTAGGGTTCACCAAATTTGGAAGATGTTTGCTGATATCAATGTGATTGACATCGGTCGTATTGATTTAGAAAGAAAACGGGATGGACATCATGCCAAAACAAAATTAGCTGCACCGCAGTATCAAAAGTACACACTAGAACGCCATTAATACGATCATCAATGGGTCAAAAAAACGGGGTGGCCGTATTGCCAGGGCAGGGTCAAATTTCTTGACTTGAGGGCCGTAATGACAAATAAACCATATATTCACATAATTGGCACTTCTTGAACAACTGTTCTCTCAGATAAACAACCGGAATAAGTAGAAGATATTGCGTACACTAATTGTAAAAACTACTTGAAACTTCCCTTCAGTGCATAAAACACCTCTAAAAATCGCCTAAAAACAAATGCATTCTTAGTGTATTGTAGTCTATTATAAAAGTAATACAAGAACAGGCTCAGCTTACTAAAGATGTCACAGGCAATTCAGTTTTCTAAATTTCGTACGAGTGCCTGCATTAAAGGGATGAAATTATAACAGATTCTCCTGTTTGGGATTTTAAAATGTGACTGTTGGCTGTATTAACGGAGTTTTTTTAATAAGAAAATGTATGGTTGTTCCAACAAGCTGAAAAAAAGTGGCCATTATAATGAGTGACCATATTGCCGAGGTGGCTGTAAGGCGGGGTTCCACTGTAGTAAGAATAAAGAAAAATACCAATCAATGGAAGACAACTGCTATACAATCTGCTAGTCAGAATAAACATCCCTTCATATCCAAAAACTGCTAAGGAACAAGCCAATGTTTGACAACAGAAACTATACAAGTACATATGCATTTATACTGACCAAGCAAGAGGTCAAGAAGGTTGCATATTGGCCAAGTTCTTTTTTTGCATATTATGGACTGAGAGAACAAGACGAATATGCAGCCATATATCATACATGTACATATTTTTCTTATATTTTAATTAGTGGGGGCATGCCTAGTATGGCGCATTGGGGCTTTTGGTTGTCTCCTTCTCCACAACTTTTTTCTTTTTTTTTTTTCTTATAGTAGTGTTAACTTATTTCATTTCATTATTTGCTTGTAATGTAGTGGAGTGAATCTGTAATAAATAAATACTCAGCCACATCCAATTAACAATCCTTATGAAGCAACTTACTGTAGGTTCAGATTACCAGCAAGAAAAAATCGAATTCCAGGACTATTAAAATTCAAGGACACAGTCATAACTTGTGAAATTTAGTAGATTTTTTTATATCACTAAACAGACACTCACTTGTAGGTAACCAGATGAGCCAGTTTAAACTGGTCTTTGATTGGAGCACTATCAATCGCTCTGATCAAAGGCTTGCACAAGTGAAGTTTGTTAATCTGCAAATCATTGATGAATTCAAAAAATAGTTTACTATGCATAAGGCAGAGAAAGATTCACACTACTAAAGATGCCACGCTTCAAGGTGTCTCAGTATAATATATGTGTTATGTAACATTGCTTACAACAGGGTGTTTCATTACACATCGAAGATCAAAGAATTCTTCATTTACTATGCAGAATTCTCTGCTTAATGTTCGGTAGCTTATGACTATTTTTTATGCAGACTTCGAGCCTCTTTCAAAATATTCTCCTGTAACATTTCACCTTTCTCCTGCTACTAGGATTCTTGATGAAAACCCTGTTGTAATATAAGCAAACCCCATACCTTCTCTGGCAAAAATCAGAACTGTTACCTCTACATGCAAAAAAAAGACAGTCACCCCAACTTTGAAATACACACTACAAGGCAAAACTCTTCCTATTAACCCAAAATTATACCCTTGCCCTTCAATGAAAACAAAATACATGTATAAAAAAATGTGACTTGAGCTACAGTGTAAGTGTCTTATTTCTCAGTGTTTTGATTTACATTGCTATGAAGCTAAATATGTTCTACATTTGCCTGTGTGTCACTCTTTACATGCATGTGAAATAGAAATTCTATGACTACTACTAACATACATGTACATAAACAAAGCTAAACCATCAATCACCTTAAAGTAAATCTTGAACAAATGATTGACAAGTGCTAACATGCCCCACTTCTTGGACACATCAAGGGATGAACGGCTTTAAAGGAAATAATACACCTGTAAGCCACTATGTCTTTTAATTTAAAAGGGTGACAAACGTTTCCGAGGGAAACAAATGGGACTGATTATAGTGAAGAAATTGGCACTTGGGATTAATGTTCAGTAATGTCAAAATGGATGTCAATGGTAATCATAAGCATAACCATGGGTGCACCTGCATTTTTCTCTTGATTTAGCATACTTTACCTTCCCTTTGTAGGAAAATAATATTAACAGCCATTGGTATAAAATTATCTGGAGTGTGTTATCCACTATGTATGCATCAACAAGTACATTATGTAGTAGATTCCCCTCAAAATAAGGCTAGAAAAGACATCAACCTTCACAACAGGGAATCTTTCACTGTAGATTGTAAGACACTTTTCCAATCAAGTATGCATTTGGAAACATGCAGAACTATTGTCTGGGGTAGCCTCGTTACACACAGACTGGTAATCACCATAGTGAACTTTGCTAGCCAGCTACTGAATTTTTTTTTTTTTTTAATTTGAGAAGTTTTTTTTTTTGTGGGGGGGGGATGCAAATTACAGTAAGACATATTTTAAACAGTCCTGGAGCCCATTTCTTGTTAAAATCAAAACCTGCTGAAATGTAGTGCAGTTCCTAAATTACAAACCATTCAATTTTGTTTCGTTAACTTTCACTGTATCTTCTTCAAAATTATTGAAACTTTGATCTACAATGCAAACATGGCAAACAGCCTTTTGGATCTGAAAAGTTACCGCAACTTTCAAATCTTTTTTGGGCTAGCCACAGCCTGCCCAAATGACAAGCTGTAAAACTGACTTTCTGTGTACCCTAGTAATTTACTCAATTTACCTGTCACTTGCACAGACCCTAAAGCAGCCCATCATAACCTCAGCCGCTTTCTCAAGCATTTCACCAGGTTTACCTTGTCTGCTTTCAATAAGCTGTTTGTCTGCCTATCGGTATCAATAAACAGTACGGTGTAAGGATCACCTTTGCACAACCACACCCAATTTCTCAACTGCTGATGGCCTTCAATGCAGTGTTAAATTTTAACTAGCAATTGCATTTATTTTCTCAGAGACTGAATTTATCTGCCATTTCAGGTTACCATGTAACTGGGTCCCTAGAACACTTACATGTACCATCAGCCAGAACTGGCTGTCTGCACCAGCCCATCTGGATTTTCAGAAGATTGCCCAGCTATATCAGTGAGCTCATAAGTAATAAGAATAGCAGTGATGGGATTTTAATGAAAACTATCAACAAAAGCCTATAAATTTCATTTTCAAAATCACCAGTCTGGCCAGTCAGGTCTGACTTTGGTAAGCGCCTAGCTCAGTATGATCTAAATGATAGTTCTTGAGCTCCAGACCAGGAAGCAAAAGAGGTAAATAGATGCACTTTATGGCGAACTCTCTCTTTAAGGACACCTCTATAGGGTGGGCACCTCGGTAAAATAGACACCTAGAGTTGGTCCCTGCCTGTCTTTACTTCCATCATTTGACTCTCTATAAGACAAACATCTCTCCAAGACAGACACTTACATGTAGTGTCTGTCCCAATGGTGTCCATCAACTAAATAATGTAGAAAGAGTTGACAGTACTACAAAGAAACAATCAGGTTCTTATTACACCTATTACAGGGTTTGAAAATACGCCAAATTTTAAGTATTTTATGCTAAAATTGTTCAGATGACTCCGCCGAGGTTACCGAGTGAGTCACTTCGACTCAAGAAATTTTCGGTAACAAACAGGGAGCCACTTCGACTTCAGAAATTTTTGGTAACAAACACAGTTTTGTCCTTACCTTTTTCGCAACAAATACAATAATTTATGTTAATCGTAAACCTTGTAAACCTTAATTAAATCATCGAAATTCAAGAATTATACTGCACGACAAAACAGGAAGAGAATAAATTACGATCAAAGTTTACTCGATGACAGCCATCAAGGATTTGAGCTTTTCAGGTCAGTGGACTGCCACAGCTACTTTGTGTATCACTCACGATAGTGTATGCATGCCAGGACCACATACTGGAAAGTCTGAAAACGTCTTTTTTCGTTATGATACTTGACTCCAAATATTCCAAAATGACTCCAAAATTTGTGAAGCAGAAGTCACACTGACTCCACTCATCAATAAAATTTGCAAATCCTGTATTATATGTACGAAGGACATACAGTACTGTATGTAGGTGTACAGTGTATGTTGTAAACAGTGCACTTGGAATTACCTGCATTGCAAAGAGTCTCAAATCTAATGTGACAGCATTCATCAGTGGCAAGGCCCTAACAGGTAAAGAGTCAGAATTATTTGAAAATGGCAGATTGCAGTCAGTTTAAATAGGCTCAGTGATAGACAGAAACTTAAGCTCAACTCTGAACTCTGAACTCTTCTATATACAGCAGTGGAGGGCAATAGAGGTTGTACATGTACAGTTCTGTTGTGAGAGTTCTGGTTTGTATTTCTTCCTCATTTTTTAGTTTTTTCTTTGACTAAACTAGAAACAAGCTCTCCTCAAGGTCTTTCTAAATAATTTAAAATAAATATAAGCATTTAACACTGTGCTACATCAAACTGACCACAATTTTATTATTTATAGTGAAATAAAGCGGAGTGACCTTAAGCGGAGTGACCTTAAGCAAGCAAGCACCAATTATCAACAGTTTATTCACTCACCAGTTTTCATCTTTTTGACTTTGGAAACCACGGGTGAAAGTTGTGCCAATTTTTAAGGAAAGCAAAATGTCAGTGGGAACATGAATTGAGTATAATTTGCATCTAATTGACAAATCATCTTTACTCAGTAGTTTTGTATCCATTAGGTAGAAATACAATACACACCAGAAAAATAATTCTTTGACAAAACTAAAGTAGTGAAGCCTGATAGAACCAATGTTATGTACCAAACAGAACAGACCATATGAAATATGCACAGAGAGTGCAAGAAAGCTTTCAGCATGATCAAATTTAAAGCACTGTTTTTGATTCTTTTAAGCCAAACCGAGGAAATCAGCCTAACTTTGTCTACAGAATAATATTTTTTAGTACAACATAAAATAAATGGAGGGAAGAGTTGACAGATTTTAAAGGTTACATACTGGATAAGTTAATGCTATCATTTTGCAAAGGATAGAAGAAAAAGTTTTTGTGCCAATATCATTATCACTGTTGTCATGGTGGGTTAAACTTTCTCAACATACCATAAAATTCCGAAAATAATCCCCTCCATGAATAAGCCCCTCCAAATATAAGCCCCCCAAAATCATAATGCAAAAAACCCTCCGTTAAATCGCCCCTCCAAATATAAGCCCCCTTGGGGGTTTGTACTTGGAATTTGCCCTCGAATACAAAGTAAAACAAAGCAAAAATGGTAAATATCCTTCCTCATTTGAAATGAAAATTTCCCTCCGTAGATAAGCCCCTCCGAATATAAGCCCCTCCAAAAATAAGCCCCTCAAAAAGGGCCTTTGAAAAATATAAGCCCCGGAGCTTATTTTCGGAATTTTACAGTATGTAGTGAAATAGTAGTTGTACATAGAAAGTGATGCAATTAGTATAGGTAATACAGTGGAACCTCTACTAACGGCCACTTTTTTTGACCCAGCAGACAGCCCATACATTGCCTCTTGTTTAAACCTCTCTGTGACGGTCACCTCTTTACAACAGCAATGACCACTAAAGCAGGTTCCCAACTGCCAAAATAACCTCTTGACAAAAGTCAGTTTTTTTAGCAACTGATGAAAAAGTCAAGAATGGTCATGAAATTTGATCTTATGACACGTTGATGCTTGGTAATGGTATTTTGATTGTGTTCCATTCATACTGCTGCAGTAAGATTATATTCATTTTGTCTACAATACTTATAGCTATAAAGTTGTGCACCTCAAAAAATTATTTACATTATTTATGCATTTTACCTCTATTATTTATAAATAATGAGTGGATTACCATTATGGGGTAAAGTAAGCATGAACTTAGCACAATAAGTATGTTGTACTCCCAAAAAATAATTTATTTGTCATATTACCCCTCTACCTTCCCATAATGGCCACCTCTCCACAATGGCCACTTTCTTCTGTCCCCAAGGTCGCCTTTGTGGAGAGTAGTATACATGAAAAAATTTCCTTGATGAAAATTTGTCCCCAACACAGTCAGACATGGAAATTTGACACAACAACGGTTGGCCCAGTCTCAGATTTTACCTCAAAGTGACCAATTCTGCACCTGATTGTTTCGAATGTATTTCTACTGTATATTGGAGAGGAAAAGTACAGTGCAGTAGAGTGTTAATTGCTAAAAGGATATTGAACAACAACTGCTTGAGCTGCTCGTGCTTCAACATAATCACCATTTGCCACAGCCCACACAGCTCTGCAAATAAAAACAAAGATACACATAAATTAGCAAAAAAAAGTTTTGTTTTTTCTTCTTCTTAACTACTGCATCAAACGTCCGCTGAAAACTTATTTTCAGACAATTATTTACATGTAAGGTCACTTACTCTAACTTACTGGCTGAAAAATAATACTGTAATACAGTAAAAACCTGTGACTGAGAACCTATATTATTCCAAGTTAGCCTAAAGAGGTTCTTATATAAATGGTACAGTATAATCAATACAAATTTAGGCTATGTAGGTTCTTGAATAGGTTCATATTTTCTGAAGAACAAAAAAAACATTGAAGCTAAGAGTATCTTGCGGTATTTTTAGCTTATTCCTTAGTAAAATCTGCATACCATTACATTACAGTTGGAGTAATAAGACCCCTAGGTCTTCAAAGAGGATTCTGAATGTTGACTTACAGATGTATCTTATTTGCCCAAGAATACAAATTTTTTTTATTACATTTTAGAAAGTACGAACCTAAGAACCTATTATGTGGATCATTCAGCAGTCATTAGGAGATGGAGGAATGCTGACCTACATGTAAGAGCCAAAGAGTGGTGGCACAAAAGACACGCTTATACAAGTATACAATAGACAGGAGAAGTCATTACGTCACATTGCTATGGTAACAAAATTTCTGGATCTCAACAGATCGAAAATGTCAGTCAAAAAGTGAAATCACACTGTTGCAAACCGTAAACATGTTAAAGCTCTAATTTAATTTTATTCAGTTTGTCAAATTTTGGCAAAATTTTCCGCGCTTGAATCCGAAAGGACAGTATCTAAGTTTAGAAAAAGAAAATTGCTGTCTTGTGTCCTAGCAATCTATCAGGTAGGCGCCAGAAATAAGGAATTTTCACGTCACAGTCACGCAAAAATGGCTAAGAGAAGTACAAAAAGTATAATATAAAACTATTGCTTTTTTACAGTTCTCATAAACATCACCGTCGTTGTTGCTTAGGTTTCCTACTGTTGTGATCCAGAAATTTGCTACCATGGTAATGTGATGTCACACTTCTCCTCTCTGTATCGTATCTTAGTTATAAAAAAACTGAGATCCCATTAAATGCAATTACACAAGTATGACTCATTTTGGATCCTCTTCCAACATGTATACCTGAGATGTGAAGCTACCATTTCATCATAGGGTTGTTCAAACCACCTCTCACACTGAACCTGTGCATCTGGTAACTATAAATAAAGATTCATGATGGCATGAGTAAAAAGGAGGACAACACAGTTCTCTAACCTTTCACTGATAGGGCTGTACAAGCATTGTTTTTATATCAATCACCTTAAATTTTATGAAAACTCCTTGGTAGTACTTTTAAGACAGTACAGTTACATACATTAAAATAAGAAGACTGTGTTTAGTACTACAGGGATTGTAAACAATGAATAAAATTCATACATGTACCTGAAGTCTGAGACTTGCAATGTGTGGATGGTGAAATGAAAGCAGTTCCTGTGACACAAAGACATATTAATTATTTTAGTACTACAGTCATTTTCAGTTGAAAGCTCTACACCAAATCCATGGCCAAGTTGTTCAAAAGGTTAGTAACATGATCAACTGGATAAGGAGATTTAATCTTTTCCCTAAGGATAGTATAATGGGTTTCTTTCATACTTAGCAAGTGGATAGTGATCTGTTCAGGGGATTAGGACTATCCAAAACTTTCTAATGGTTATATTTTACACACATAACAATATTATTGAATGAGGCTGAGAATAGTGTAAAGAATAATGCACATCAAGGAGGATGTTATTTACCGAGGCCAAAACCTTAGAGATCCGCACAATTCTTCACATCATATGATTTTGTTTGCTCATTATTGTATTTCTCTGTTCAGTTGTTTTGTAGTCAGAAATTCAGCTTTTCATCTTTGGATAGCCGTGAACATCTCTTCCCTTCAGTTCACTCAGGCTTAGATAGCTACAGGTATAAACAGCTGTAGGCTGCTGCACTCTTGAGTTCTGCATAACTGAACTGGTTATTTCCTGAAAACAAGTCTGCTAGCAATATACCAACGAATTGATGCATTATTGCCTACACCTTCCAAATTCAGTCAGTGCTAGCCAGTTCGGAAGAATTGGTCAGGGGTTTGGAGCCAATCAGAAACAGCAAAATAGTTTGAATGAATAATACAATGGTTTATCAGCAAAATAACTCTTTAACAGGGCTTCTGATATTTCGCGCGGTCGCGGACCCGCGAAATTCAGGTATTTCTGCGAAATCCCGCGAAATTCCCAAAAAAACGCGAAATACCGCGAAATTCGCCAGAAATATTTCCAAATACATGTCGGCAAAACATATTTGATACTTATCTTGGCAATTAAACCTGTTTTATTCACCCCAAACGTCCAAATTTATCTTGAAACGTCGTCACTGCAACGAGTAAACAACGTCCCAAAACTAACAGGCGTTCTTAGATTAATGTTGTGAAAAACTGGGCACTAACAATAATGTTAATAGCTTTACCATTCGCTTATTTCTCGAGCGAACTGTTGTTGAAAGAGCAAATGATTTATATCCCTCTTAAAAAAACGTTAAACAACGCTGGTCATATCAACACAAAATTGATCGATTTTAGCGAAATTTGCCAAAAAAAATCCAGCGAAATCGGCTGTTTTTTTACTGATTGCTTCTTGGCGAAGTTTCCCCCCGAAATTTCCCGTGAAATTGGCCGATTTTCCTAACAATTTGCCCCTGAAAATCCTTCGAAATTTGAATTTTTTCCGCTAAAATCCACGAAATCAGCCGATTTTTTTGCGAATTTTGACTTTTCTTCCTCGAAAATCCCGCGAAATCGGCCGATTTTTCCGCGAATTTGTCCCTGAAAATCCCGCGAAATTTTGCTTTTTTTTCCGCGAAATATCAGAAGCCCTGCTTTAAGGATGAGTGTGCGTAAGGCTATTGCCAAAGTTGTTTTACCAGTATGTAACTTCAGCTGCCTTTTAGATTTGATTTCCTTGTAAGCTTAGATGTAGTAAATGAAATATTGAAATTATTTATATATTATTGCAACCATTGACTCTGCAAAAGTAATTCATCTGTCTCACTGACTAGCTTGCGTCGCAGGCGCTTGAAAGAAATGGGTGCAAGAAAGAACCCAGTGCTCAAGGCGAACATGTGAGGTGAGAGGGAGTGCCTACCCAAGAAGCCTATGAAAATCGTTTCCCACCCTCTTTCTAATTATCTAGCGGCTGCTGTGTGATTTGTCAAAAATTTCGACTTAAAATGATCCAGATCAACCTGGCACAAACAAAAGGTGTCAAAGCATGTTATATTTTTATATCCTCAGTCTAAATATCTGTTACAAAGATCAGCTACGTGATCTGATTATAGAGCAAAGGAGCAATAAACAGACGACAAACACACAGCATTAAAATAATTAATGTTTTTAACCAAAGACACGATAAATATGAAAAAACAGAGTAAAACCTGGATATATTTATAGAATGCATGCTCTGTATTATAGAAGGCTAGTGCAGTCGACTCTCGATAACTCGAACCCTTGCAAACTCAAACCTTGCGCTAATTCGAACCAAAATTTACAATTAAATGTGATTAAAATGTTCTCTGTACAGTAAAAAAATGTTTTTTTCCTTAATTTGGCTATTTTCTTTGAGCTCCCGATAACTCGAACTCCTGATAACTCAAACTTTTCTCGCACTACCTTGAAGGTTCGACTTATCGGGAGTCGACTGTATATTGTTCTCTGAGATTGCAAAATCACAACTGTACAGATACCAAAGATCACAGGGTATGTGGAAAAATTACCATAGCAGACTGTACTTTTGTGCAAAGTGCTAGCTGATTAATTTTTTGAGCAGACATGTCTTGTTAAATGGACCTAAAGTTCAGGATGTAAACAGTAACAAGACGTTTTTATGGGCTACAGTAATGAGACATTAACATCAGTCATCAGGTCGCATTCAAGTTAATGATATCAATGCTAAATAGTGAAAGGTTTTGTTGAAATTCATCCCCCTAGTAAGAGTCTCATTTCATCAATCCTGTGGAGGTCTTGATGGTATGTATGTCATCGACAATGTAAGCTGCCAAGTTCTTTTTGAACAAAGAGTATTTCCTCTGATCTTCATTTCAATGATTCAACAAATCTTTTGTCTGTCACCACTTCTGCTAATGGGTATTTGATGTCAAATCGTTCCTTTGTGAATACCATTTGCACAATCCACTTTTTCTTTGAGATTATAGCCACACAGTGGTATTAAATTAGTGACCTCCAAGATCTGATTTTTGATTATACCATTTACTGTTGTAATACGACCTTCATTGTACTACATGTTTACAAATGATCTCATGTTTTCTTTGATTGACAGTTTTCTCACCTACGGCAAACACTTATCCCCTCGGGAGCCTATTAACCAAGAGGAATTTTTCGCACTCTCAGAAAGCAAGTAAAAGCAGCGATCCCTCTCCCTTTGTGTGTCTCCCTCACACACCCCATTCTTTCTTGCACCTTTTACTTCCAAGCGCCTGCTACGCAGGTTAGTCTCACTCTGACTGTCCAATAAACGAATTATAGGTTTTTTACTAATCACAATGTGAATCCATTCTCATTAATTTTATGAAGTGCAAAATACGGCATGCACATGTACCCTACACTATATTATAGCGGAGCTCCTCGCGCGCGCGAAGCGCGCGCAGAGCGGAGCACCATGGGTAAGAAAATTTGGTAAACTATCCATCTGAGAAAATTTGGTTATGACATAGCGTACGCCCGCCCGCCCGCCCACCCGTACACACGCTTCATGTAAGCCGATGTCAAATGTCACAAAGGATCTTGCACAACTTGACTCGCCTCTTAGTTATGTAAGCCATCCGCATGAGTACGATTAGATTGACAGCTGTCAAAATTAGGCATCCGCTGACAATTATCACATGACTATCTCGCGGGCTCAGATGAAAGACCAGTCGTTTTGCCCCTACATATAAGCGGATATAATATGTCACACTTACCAATTCAACATAAAAACAAAACTACACTGGGCAAGGCTGTCAGTTGGCTGACAGTCATTTAAAGATATATTGGCAAGCCAAATTAAGGTCAATTGACAGCTGTCAAAATGGGACATGTGCAGACCACTATTAGAAAACTAATAACGTGGGCTCAGGTTCGCTCAGGTACACGATCTGGCATTTTCCACTATATGCCGGACGGAGATGTCTTACTCACACTCGTAGTCTGTTAATTCGAATATTCGCCATTGTAATGAAGGTTAATTGACAGCTGTCAAACTAGAGTATACGCTGACCATCATCATCTGAGTGTATCGCGGGCTCATTAGCCTATCCATTGAGGTCACGTAGTGTTTAAAGTTTTGCGCTGATATTTTATTTGATCATGGGCTCAATTCGAAGTCCCATAGCTTAGAAAATCGATCCATCTTAGAAAATTCGGCAATCACGTGACCGTACACCGACCACCCGACCTTCCGTCCGTCCGCACCACAGGTATACCAACATTTAATCTCACACTTTCTAGCTAGTTTGGGAGCCTGCAACCTGATATTGTACATCCATGTTTTGATTAATTGACAGCAGTCAAAATAGTGTTACTGCTGACCAGTATCGCCTGACCCTATCGCGGGCTCAGGTATCGACCCACTGAGTTCGAGTGTTTTTTAACATATCCGCTGACAGGTTGCTACTTTTCAATTATCACAGGCTCAAGTTCAATTTTTTTTAAAAGCATATGAAATAAGTCGAGTTCATGAGCCGCACTTTTAAAATGTTGATTTCGAACTGACCTCGGACGCGAAAATTCAACCGGCTTTTACATTTACATGCGGGGAAGGCAATCACTTTTGACTTTTCTTACTGTCACGCGTTGATCACGCTCTACGATCAATTTTTATGTTCTGATTGGTCAAAATTTGACAGGTGAGTTCATGCGGAAAATTTATGCAGCGTCTGGAAACTTGCTTACTGATAGCTGGAGCTTACAGAGTTTTGTGTCATCTTGTGATGTTTTAAACTGGCTGTTTCTACTTGGTTTACAAAATGAAATACAGCTGCTATCAAGATTGTTCTGTAATTCATGGCTGGTTTGTTTATTGCGCTCTTTGTTGACAAATGCACCACTTGTCAAAGTCATTGGAAATCTGATTTCGGATGGCATCGTTTTCAAAAATGAGCCTACTCACTTGCCCTTGCTTGAGGCGTAAGAGGGTTGAAAATTCTGGAACACTTGATGACCTTCAGAAGCAGCATTTCCACTGGTAAGCCTGAGAAATTGTTGTCTTTGATGTGTTTTTTTTTTTCGGTTTCCTGAAGTCGAGCGTATGGTTTATGCGGCTTAAGTTTATGTACGAGCAATGATCTAACCTACAATAGTATCAGGTTTAAAAAGCCTTTAGACATTTTTTGACCTCAAATTCAAAGAAAATGTTCCGAAGATTATTTACTTATGATTTTGACTGTAAAAAGAAAGCCCTGAGCGATTTTCTTGCCTCGAGTTCATCTTGAAAAAGAGCAAACACCGGGAAGCCTGCTTAAAACATAAATAAGCTTATGCTTACCTGACTCATGATTTTCAAAGACACTTTACTCTCAATACTTCTCTTCGTGAATGAAAATTATTGTCTCTGTACATGTTTCACCGAATTATATTTATTTTATTGATTGTTAGTAGTCCCTCTCGCAATTTTTATCGCTGCACCGGTTGTATCCAGTCGAACATAAACATCTCATGCAGGAATACTCAAAACGCCTACGTAAATATCACTCGCTTTTAAAGATTACACATAACAAAGCCGTCCGCAGTTTAATAAATAAAGGGAAATAAAACCTAAACATACAATTTATCTATCATGTTGAAGCGTAAATGGTAACTCTATTAATCGCACTGCAAATTTAGTGCCTGTCAAAAGTGAGCCCCGTCCGCTGGGCGAAAAGTGATTTTGGGAATTTTTTTATCGTTTTCATTAAAAGCCCATTTTACCCTGCATATCACATAGGACCAGATTTTTCTAACTGAAAGTCCTGGCATTATAGAATTCTCTTCATGAAAACGTTTTATAATTCAATGCTATAATTTGTTGTGCAAAGGAAGCGCGTGCTTTGATCGTCGTGGATATTGAATGAGTGCAAATTCTCTTGCAAAATTGTGAAAAACGGCAGAATTATAGGTTTAAATTGGGCAAAAAAGAACAAATTCTGTCCGAGATCTGTATGATAAAAACAAGGGCCTCATAGTACTGTTTACCTGAGACGTGATGAGAAAAAGTATGTTTAAAAGGCTGGTTTACACTCCACCAGATTCGTCGCCAAGATTTACTAGCAAACTAAACTTGTCGAACACAAAAAATCCGGCCTGATTTTTTATTTTTGCCCTCTTTTTAGACAGAGGAATGCAACGTGTAAATTGGCTGCCACCAAGGACTATCGTGGCGCCTGTGTTTTTAAAATTATATTTGGGGTTGTCCAATTATCCATAGTCTCTCAAACGGAGCAATGTTGGAGAGAGTGGTGAATGCCACATTATGATTCAACAGCTAATGCAAATACAATACACGAATAGGTAGGTCTATTTGTTTTCCAGGCCTAATCTACTGTGATCGAACATGATTGCTATTTTTGGGTGTACAAATAAGATTATTTAATAACTCGATGTAAAAGCTGTTTCACTCTTGGACTGTCAAATTATTTTTCTCTAAAATCACTTAGCCTTTGCCTCAAACGTCAAATGAATGTGCCCTGATCTGCGGATTACAAGTTTATTGTTTGATTTAAATTATGAATTTATGAACGGGAGCTTCGCTTTTAGCCCTGGCTAAATCTATATATTATGTGTGAACTGAAGAAAAACATCTGCAAAGGGTCTTGACAAACTGCGAGCCAGCGAGCCAGCGAGTCATGCGAGTCGAGCCAGTGAGTCATGCGAGTCATCATGTGAGCCATGCGAGACAGAAGTTCGGAGGAAAGAGAATCCATTTTTTGGCATATCATAGGCAATTTAACTTTTTTAACATTTGTAGCATGAAATTAGCGTTCAGACGACAGCAAGAAAGTCTTTTAAAGAAAATGTATGAAAAGGTAACCGGTCAAGTCGCCCGAAAGTCATCTCGCCCGAAGTCATGAGTCCTAAGTCATGTCGCCCGCAATTTTATCGAGTGTATAAACTTGAAGAAAAGAAACATCTTAAGTAAATCGCAAGGAATAAACTCGTAAAATGTTGACTCGCTAACGAAAATACCCCTCAATGACGTCATAGCTTTTTCGATAACTGTGAATTTTGAGAAACCTTTGTTATTGTTTCACCTCGTTCAATTTGTATGTTGGCGAATTTTTCTGAAGCTGAATTTTAAAGGACCTGCCTTTGGAATAGATACGTTACTTAGTAGTAGTTTACGTTAAAAACAAAGTTATTTTATGCTGACTCGCATGACTCGCATGGCTCGCATGTTGACTCACATGTTGACTCGCATGACTCGCTGGCTCGCATATTATACACACACTCTGCAAACGAGTCTTGACTGGTTTGGTGAAAATGTGACTGTTCGAGAGTATTGACATGCAGAACAAAATAAATTTTAAATTTCATAACTCACGACAGTCAACTGAAACGTCTCTTGCTACAGTGACAGTCAGTGAGTTAAGTCTTACCTCGCCTATATATACAAGGAAGTTTCCTCTATTAAAACCACACAGTCACACAAACGAAACACATGTGTACAACGCTTACGACACTTACCGCTAAAATGTCACCATTCTTGGACACAAGCCCTCTTTCCACCTAATATATTTCACAGAAGGATGTCAGTATTTCACCCGATGATTTCAGAGCAAAGAAATTTAGCTGCTTTTCAAACCTGACTGAGATACTGTTCCAGGCTCATGTGCGCCATTTTGAAAATTAGCCCCAACGGCGCATGTGTCTGATTAACTCCGCTGACAGGTGTTTTTGGCGGGAAAATCGCTGTAGGACAGTAGATTACGTTCCGATATCTACGGATAATTCCTGCGTGGAATTTTCCGGGGGGGAGCAAAACTACGGGGGTAAAATACCCGCGGTGTAAAATTACAATGATCAGTCTGGAGAAAGTTCGCATTATCAGTCTTATCATATCAGGAGGTTCGTAGCGGGGGTGATTTTACTGCCTGTACCTCGGAAGGTGGAAGCGCCCACTTTCATGAAGTGAAACAGGCGACAAGTGGCAGCAACACGTCGCGTTGATAGATCACTCTGTTTGTACGGGTCGGGCGACTAGTTGCCGCAACACGTTGCTGCGACAAATCGCTTCGTGTGTACTGCATAACTTTTGCGGAAAATCTGTCTCCAAAATAGCATTTTGTAGCTGCAGCAAGTCGCAAAAAATCAAATCAGACAATTTATGCCACTTTTTGCGGCGGCAAAATTCTGTTGCAGAGACAAAGATTTTTACTAAAATTCTCCAGTACACACAACGCGATTTGTCGCTGCAACGCGTCGCCGCGACACTGTTGCTTCAACTTGTCGCCTAGTAGGGACCGACCTTCACTGAAGCTTTAGATGGGCGAAAATTTTATTATTTTACCTAATTTATTTTGGCTCATCAGATTCACCACTTAACAATATAAATCAGTTTCATATTTCTGAAGCTCATGCATGCTGGCCTCTTAGTTATAAAATTTGCGACACTTTTGGTAAAGGTTTGTCCTTTTTATTCTCTTAATTTGAGACTTTCAGGACTTTTAAGGGGCTTCCTAATAAAACCTTTTTACAGCTTGCAGTATCTTAAAGGAAAACTAGATTTTTGACTCAAGACGTGATGGTGTGAAAACTATTGTTCTATCCAGGATTAATCTAGTTTTAGATCACTGTTTCAAGTTTGCGCGCGCGGACGATTTGAGTAATGTAGCTCGCGCAGCGTACGAAAAGTTCAATACTATGACGCAACAATCAGATCTTCCATTGCTACGAAAAATAAAAAGTTCATCGTTTGTGCTGCAGGCAGGAAACAAGTCCGGATAAAACCATTCTTAAGTTATTCTGTGTACACTGTTAACTGGTGCAGATATGGTAAGTCAATGTTCATTCCTAAAAAAGAGAGGATAAAAAGATATTTTCTAGAACTAATTGAGGGCAAGAAAGCATAATCCGTCATAGTGTAGTCCCCAAGTACAACTTTGAAACTTCGTCAACAAATAGTAACTTCCCTCGCGTTATTGTCCTTTCTCATGACGTTTTTTTCGCCTTCACTTGCGTTCATTCTCTATTTTCCAATTCCCCATAATACACTCTGTTTGCCCCCCAAATTTTGCATAAACTATTGTTTTTAAATGCTCCTGGGAGTATTGCATTTTCCCAAGAGCATTTTAAGACAATAAGTTATGCAAAATTTGGGGGGCAGACAGAGTGTATTATGGGGAATTGGAAAATAGTCAATTGAAAATACGTTATTTAAAAAAACTAGTGGAGACGGAGGAGGAAGTAAATAATTCAGAAAGAGGGAACTATAGATACTACTGAGAAGTTTAAAAAAACTCTGATAGCATCTGTGTCCAAAAAGGCAAGGCTCACGAATAGAGGTTTTACCGATAATTCTTTTTAGTAAAATCCAACTAGTGGTCTATTATCAATGCTGCGTTTTGATTGGTTGTCTGAGCTACTACTAGGCTATATATGTTAAAACCTGGCTTTTAACACAATTTGAGAAAATGGGGGACCGCACCCTCGGGGTACCCCCTGTAACTTGCAATTGGAAGAATTTATTCCCTGTAATAAGGTAAAACACAGAGGTAAGGTAATCTCGTTATGGATAGTGGCCACCTAGCAGGGATAATCTTTAGATATGTTATCTAATTTTCTGTTGATTTACTATGTAAAAGCATCTTTTTCTGTTGGCAGGTCAAATTTGAACGTATCCCCAATGAACGAAAAGACCATACGCTGCAAAATAAGCCTGGAAAATTACGGAAGCTGATGCTCAATGCCGTTTTGTCTGCTGTTACAGTTAGCCGTATCTCTAAACGAAAAGCTGAACGAAAACTTTCCAAAACTCCATTTAGTTTTGAGAATCCAGGTAATCTACTAACTATATTTTTGTGTACATATATTTAGAACGCTTTTAACAGAATTCTCAGGGGTTAATTTAGATGGCGTGTAAGGTCCTCCAACGGAAATCCATGAACAAAAAATAGTATCTCCATGAGCCTATCGTTCATTAATAGAGCTCGTTAAATTCACACACGAGCAGTTTACCAAAGAAATTGTACTGCTTTTTTGCCTTGCCTGCAACTAGAAATATGCGCGAAAAACAATTGCTTTTTTTATAAAAAAAAAAACAAAAAACACGGACTTAGAAAAAACATTGGGGGTTCAATTAAAAGTGGTTCGTGCTTGGACAATATAAAAAAAAAAACTGGGCTAAAATTTCACTAAATTTGGCAAAATTGTGACCTTTTATCCCGACTTAAATTTTCTGGTATATCAAATAGGTAGTGTTAACCATTTCGCTTCAATAAATATCATTCTCTGGTTTAACAATGTCATCGATAACCAACGTTGGGCGTTCTTCTTTCAGTTTATGGATCCCAAACAGCTGAGGACCTAGTTGGCATGAAATTGAACTCCTACAAAGTCAACGTGATCAATTGAGCTTGCCGTCACATGGCTGGTGTAAAACACTGAAATTGTAAAAGAAACTCAACCAGTCTGTAACAAGAAACTTGAGCCGGAAACTCACTTTATTAGATACTTAATGAAATAGTATAATAAACGGATACATTTTTTGCATATATCCATTTAAACTAGTTTCACGTGACCATTTTTTATTTTTGTTATTCTTTATTCTTGGGCGCTCCCCCTCTCCGGGTCCACCCTTAGTCCCTTGGGCGCTCCCCCCGCGAGCTGCCATGTTGGTGCGCCAAACCAATCCTATGGGAGCTGAACTCATTTCTTATATGTAAACGCTTTCTTTTGTAGCATAGATGCTGGACACGTGAGTGAAAACGCTCTACAAACGGAGGCTCGCATAGACTGCGAACAGTCCCTCTCTAAGCTCGGCAGGACTGGAGAGAGCGAAATGGCCCCAGAGGAAAAGCTTCCCCATGGCTTCTTGTTTTTTACTTTCGCTCGATTTCCTCGCTCGCTTGACCATCCTGAGGGACTGCTCGCAGTCTAAGGCTCGCACTCGGAAAAAAAAAAATAGTTTTACGAGAGAAAAGAAGACTGCCCAGTCCAGAAGTATGGACTGCGCCGACCTCAAAGGTTTGACGTCATTCAGACAGAGCCTGGTATTCTCCTTTTCCTTCAAAAAGACCCGAAAGGAACCACTGCTCACAGGGTGGTGTGAGAGCTATAGAGCCGCCGGGGGAGGTACTCCTGGGAATTCATGGTGGGGGTGTGCCGCCCGGTTCTTTAAATCCTGACCTTATTTCAGACTAAAGACTTGTCGTTTTCCACATTTGTTTTCAGACAAGACCTCTAAAATCCATACCCGCTTTCAGACCTGGCCTTTAGGCACAGATTATGTCATCATTACGTAGATTAAAGCGCAAACAAAAAAATTCTTCAAATGCATTTCGAATTCGCATATTTTGTTTTTCGTTCTTATTCATTTGGAACTGAAACGCTAAATACAGCGTTCATACGTTTCCGTAGTTCCTCGAAAACCATACATTCCAGACCAAAAAAAGCAAAATGTATACCCCCGTTTTCAGACCAAAAAGGCCCAAAGACCCTACCGTTTGGGGCGGCACAGGGGCTCATACCAATATAGCTTATATAAGGGAGTACTCCCCACGGGGGGGCTAGCTATAGACAAGAGACAACAATGAGCATGTGGACAGTAACACCGCGCGGAGTGGAAGCCGTGGAATGCCAGGATTTGCGTTAAGTAACCGTGTCCCAAACTCGACCTTGTATCAGGCCTTCCTAAGTGTGGGGTTAGTCGGCTAAGGGGGGTCCACACAAACTTCAGAAAGGCTAAAGTCGTCCGTGCCAATTCTGTTGACGAGACTGATCGAGGGCTTGGGAGAATTAAGCAACGAGACCTTCGTTAAGCCTTTCCACAGACCTCTGGAAAAATTCTGGACGCGTCTGTAATGTCGATGTTACTGACGTCAATATTGATGTTGTTATAACCCTTTGACGTCAAACCTCCAACAGCCACGGTATATAAGACAAACAAAGCGGTCACCGACTGGTTTAGACAATCGACAAAAAGTGAAAGATTTCGAACGCTTCAGATTTCTCACATGCCACTCTGTTTCCACCTACTCTTCATTGTTTCAGAATGAAGGGAATGTTTACGCATTTAACTGTTTAAAGGTCATATTTCTCGAGTATACACATTGAAATATGCAAAGCTGATCTTACTACATGAAAATTAACTTTGCAAGACATAAACATAACACCGAAGGAACTCAAAACAGTGCGGGGTTGTAGAGGTATTGTCCATTTGTTCACATTTCGCCGATATTTGCAAACTTGTCTCGGCAGAATTTCACCATGTTTACTCCAGCGGTATTATCTTGATGATATAAGTGCTGCTTAGGTCAATTCTGTGCTGAGATCATTACTTAATGCCTTTACAGGGACACCCAACGACTCTTTTCTGTAAAATATCTGTTCGGTAAAAATATCCTAGAATTTTCTATAGCTTGATGAAGGCTAAAAATTTCGAGATGAACGCCGGGGTTCCATTCAAGCACAATTTTCGAAGCATATCTAATAAATTCCCTACGATTTTCTAAAGTTAAATTTTTTAACTTACCGTAAATCCTCTATTAAGCCCCCCGGGAGGCTTATTTTTTTCAAGTACTTTTGAGGGGGGCTTAATAGAGAGGGAGGGCTTAAAAGAGAGGGGGTGGGGCTTATTTAATTTAGCGAAACGCATCACCTGTAGCAAAAATACCGTAGTAACAGAGAGAGTAGACTTACGTTTTGTACAAGTTAATTCACTGTCAAAAGTATTTAATTCACTTGATGGAGTCTAGAACCAACAAAACAAAATTCTTATTCTTCAAAAATGTGCTTTCCGCCTCATATGAAGTTGGAGGTCATACGGCCGAAGACCAAAACCATTATGAACTTCCAGGCTGAATAAACCATAACTGATCAGTCCACGCCGTTAATAGTTAATTTTTTGTGAAGAATAAGGATGGGGGGAGAGGGAAGGGGGCTTAATAGAGAGGAGGGGGGGGGGGGGCTTATTAGAGAGGGGAGGCTTTATAGAGGATTTACGGTAAGCTATTTTTCGCAGAAAAAGGAAACCTAAAATTTTCGGATTTGAAAATACAACTGAAGAGAGGAATCAGAAAAAGTCTCAGTTTCGTAAACCTAAAAATTGCATCTAAACTTTTCGAGGAAGTAATATACTGAGGCCCTCGTAATTTCGAAAAGACTCAAGTTCTTCTAGGATGACCGAACAGATACAAATTAGCGCCGCTTAGAAGTCAAATGCAGAATCTTACAAGGACCTCACCCCTCAGCAAATACATCGCCAGCATGAAAACGAGAAGAAACGTATGAACGCAAGCCAAGTTATGGAGGTGGAACAAGCCACGTTCACGCCGCTGGTGTTCACCACTACAGGTGGCATAGCACAGAAATCTCAAGTCTATCACAAGCGACTAGCGGAACTCCTGTCAACCAAGAAAAGCGAGGACTTCTCATCTACGATGTCTTGGATAAGAAACAGAATCTCAGTTGCCATTCTGAGAACATCCCTCCTATGCTTAAGGGGATCTCGTTCAATGAGGAGAGTAAATCTCAACCTAAAAGAAATGGACTTCGACATCGAAAGAGGACTTTAAGGACGCTAGGTTTTGATTTAGTGAAAAGATATTGAATATTGCATATTCAATTAGTTTCTTCTATTTAATAATCTTATCGTTGTTGGTTCATGTTGAAATCGTGGCAGATTTTAAAGAGGAATTAGTGAAAAGATGTTAAATATTGGTAGTCGGATTGCTAATAGTAATAGTAGTAATAATTAGTAGAGAAACATTTTCGTGGATTATATTTCGAGAGATATTGTGATTATGATCTTTAATTTTCTTCATTCTTTCTTTTCCTAACAGATGTTAAGGTACAAATTTCGTTTTAATTATTTTTTAAGTGAAGCACTGTACATAGGTCTTTTTTATGAGTACTGAATAAAGACTTTTTATCATAATATTATTATTATTATTATCATTATTTATTATTGTTATTATTATTGTTATTATGTAAAATTTAGCACAGGGATTTTCCCTGGGGAGAAATATCGAGTCAAGTCTCATCCCGAGACCTCAGACTTCCAGCACCTTTCTGAGGATATGTGCCGATCCGAGTAGTGCCGACTTTTGCATCGTTCTTGTTCGGTTTTTAATTCCTAGTTGCTCCAAGAGGCCTGCCAGTTTCTTTGACACTGAACCCAATGCACCTACAACCACTGGCACCACTTTTGTCCTTGATTTCCAGATCCTTTGAATCTCTCTTGCCAGGTCTCTTGCCAGGTCTTGGTTCTTTTCACACTTTTCAGTTTATTATTATTATTATTATTATTATTACTATTATTATTATTATTATCTCTATTATCACAGTCTTTGCTGGTGTTCTTTTTGCGTATTTTCAGTTTATTATTATTATTATTATTACTATTATTATTATTATTATCTCTATTATCACAGTCTTTGCTGGTGTTCTTTTTGAGTATCAGCCGGGCGCAAACCATGCACCTAGAGCGTCAGTCACTCAAGTCAATCATTCTGTTCATACACTGAGCACCTTTCTGAGGATTCGTGCAGATCCCAGCATGCAGATCTTATTATTATTATTATTATTATTATTATTATTATTATTATTATTAAAGCACCCCATTGATTAAAACTTTGGTTTCCCTGGCCTCTGTATGTGAAACTGTGCCTCGGCCCAAACCATTCGTAGCTGTGCAATGAAGGGGATATAACGGAAACTTTCAATTTTCTTTTATCTTTCTTGCATATAAAACCTGAATAAATTGGATATTTTTTTTGTTACGGAATGTTCTTTATTGTCCTTTATTGGTCATCAATTGAAAGAGTATTATAAAGAAACTTTCTACAGGTCGCGTTTACATACCTCTTTCATTGTACTCGAGTGCGGAGACTCGACTCTGACAATTATAGTGTCCTCGTACAAAGGAGTTCTTGCTGTATTTGTTTCTTTTTAAATGCATTTACAAGACTACGGGTTTCACAAAGGGTTATGATTGCTAATGCCGATCAAAGATTTTGGCAGAAAACACCTTTGAGTCCGCAGAAAAATATCGGATAGATGAAGGGCCCTGAACACTACAAAAAGAGTGAGACCAAAGCTAAACCATCGCTAACGTCGACCTCGGAGTGGTCCTGTTCGCTTTCAATACAAAACGATTCTCAGGGAGTAAAGCACCACGGGTTTTTTTCATAAAGTGTTATCTATTAAAGCAATGTCACTCGCGACTGTCTAGAACTGTCTACAACGGCACAAAATGTAAAAACTATATTCCTCTTTTTCCTGGGGCCTTAATACAACCAACAATAGTCAACCTGTAAAGAGGACAAAAACAATCTTAATTCAAATTTAACAGACAAATAGAAATATTATATTCAAATAATCATGAAAGCAAAATGACTATTTATCAGCCTAAAAACCAAGGTTACGTGACATTACACGTCAATCATTCTATATCGTATTTGACTAGGAAATGGCAGTTCAACACAAATGCATGCAAAGTATTATCACTTTGTTCTTCTTTCCTGTTTCTAAACTTATTCATGAGGTTGTATCTCCGTCATTTTTTCTTTCTTTTCCGTACATCGAGATTTAGATTGATGGATTCCCGCGGGGTTTCGTACAATTGACCACTCCAGAAATACCATAACATACCATAATGTTCTTTGTTTGTCACCCCAAAATTTTGCATAAGCATTGTTTTCAGTTTCTCTTGGGGCCATTTTAACTCCCAAGAGAAACTGAAGACAATGCTTATGCAAAACTTTGGGGCGACAATCAAAAAGCATTATGGTATGTTATGGTATTTTCTGGAGTGGCCAATTAATCGAATTTTTTTCCCAATACCCAGGGGAGCTTTGTAACAGCACATGCGTTGTAAACCAAGGTCGTCTCGAAGCCAGAAATTGGAAGAAATATTCCCTGCATCATTTCCGCCGACATTTTACAGGTTTGTTTACAAGTTTGCAATGCGAAGTCTCTTGTGACCGGAGATCAGAATAGCAGCGACACTCATAGCGCTGTCTGTGAAAGATAACAGCTTGGTGACTTGTGATTGTAGATGCGAGCTCTCACGTCCATCACGTTGAGTAACTAAGTCACTTGAACCGAAACCGCATTAGCATCCTTTACATAACCTTCCATTTTTGTAAAGATTCGTATGACTTTCCATATTTACCAAGAGGTATTTGAGCTCTGGTTGGATTTTAACCTGAATTGTTCATTCTCCATGCATCGGATCGCTTATGCGGGAAACAGACTTAGAAGGAAATCTTTTCACATGGAGTAGAAGCCGACGACATTTTATACGCGACTGCCGGTTATTTTCAGTGTTGTTTTCTTCTTTACACATCTTTGTGATCTTAAACCTTTTCGTCACGGCTGCAGGACTGGTTGTTGGCAACGAGGCAGGCACTAAATCTCTCAATTGTTGCGGAATGCGTATAAATACTTCTAAATGCTGGACTAGCCTCGCGTGTGCTTGCAGAAATGAGTGTGTCGACGCGAACATCGCATCTAAACATCAATACTACCGATTGGAATTTTGTTCGTCTTTTCCACTAACTGAGGTATTGAGTGGCAGATTTCGAAAAAACCAAACCGTTTCTCCTAAGGAATTAAAGGAGCTGGAAAAGGCGGACTGTAAGGCGAAAGCTACGTACAAGAGTTTTGAGGAAATTCTCAAGCGCATCGATTGCGGAGAAAATTGGAAGGAAAACACGTATTCCGCCACGTCAACTTGCCAAGACTGCATGGTGAGTACTTTAAACGTAAATTTACATCATATTCTTCCTTAATGAAGGATGCACATGTTAAATTATTGCTTTGCTGTTTATTTTGTATGGCGCGCGCAGTGTGTATCCGAGACACAAATGACTGTTGGAGTTGACTACAACGATTCCTTTGCCACATAAGGCGGGTTTCTGTTTATCGTGATTGTGCCGGGTTTTTACTGTCATTAAACACTTTTGAAACAAACACACAAGAAAGTACTCTCTTTAAGACTTTTGTGGCCTAAGTTAGGGCACTTAGTTCACAGCGATCATTAGGTAAAGAGCTTTTCTGTCGCGAAATAAATCAAATTCTTTGGTTGGGAGATTTGAAAAAGCTGCAGTGTTATAACTTTTGTTTACAATCTGATGTCGTTTCGCCCTTCATTGTTAATGAACATCCGAGCGTAAAAATCAGTTCGACTCTTGTCTTTACAACAATGACATGAGCCAGAATTTCATGGCATGGTAAATTCAAGTAGCTCCGCAGAGAATTAAACGCAACAAACAAGCGGCCTTTTACGGACTGTAACGATAAATTAAAATGTCAGATTGCCGTTTTATGTCTTTGTCTTAATTTTTCTCTCCAACCAGGAATAAACCAGCGAAACAGCTGGACGGGAAGGCTTTTTTTTCTGTATATAAATCATCTAATTTTCCATTGGAACCTTTTTGTATTATGCGGAACAAAGTAAGGTGACACACGCGATTTAACAATGACAAAATTACAGAACCTAAAACAAGTCGATATTTCTTGATCTACAACAGTAGTTATCAAACCAAATTACCTTTTTAGTTTTAGACCAGTGCAATGTAAGTAGAGCGACTTCACATCAATGTACACGGTAATTTATCTTTATCTTAACTCTCTTTCTAATATTTTGATTCGCTCTTTGATTGCGTGTAGAATGGAGTCTCTGAACCGCAAATATATGATACGGATCGGCACAGGTTCGCTTCTAAAAAAACAAAGAAATCTAAGCGATCGTCTTTGTACAGGATTATCTTAAGAATTGTCAAAATCGAGATTATAAACGCTTTTTAACGCAATATAAATTCCAAGTGACACTCGTTGTAATAGTTCTGTCACAGTGTATTCCGCCGCCTTTGTGTGCCTTTGCAAATATAGTCGATCAGCAATTTCTATTATTGTCCGGGATTCTTTCAATAACAGACGGTTAAAGTACATTGTGTCAAAGCAGGATCGTCCGTTTTTGCCCTTGACTGCGCCAAACGAAAAGGCTTTATAGTTTGGTTTGAGAAATTCCCCAAC